TTCGCTTATGCCCAATGAATTTTGTTTACTTGAGCAGACTATCGAGTTTCTAACTATATGGACCAGTTTGGACCACCGACTCATCGTCTAACGATAAATACAAGCAGTATCTGCTTAGCGAGAGGCCAACAAATAAAAGATTTTCGGGCAAATTTAATTTATACGGCAATTTTTTATGGGGAAAGTTGTCATGTAAAGCCAGATTGTCATGTAAAGCAAGTTGGTGAAAGGCAAGTGGCATGGGACTAATTGTCCTGGGGTTGAAATGTCATGATGTAACTGGATTGTAATATCTTGGTGCCATGGTTCATAATGAATTCAAGTTTCTTAGTGGCTCCTGCACCTTAAGGCTGTAGGAAACGAATACGCCTGGGACGGCAAAGGTCCTGTATTCGAATCTGACCAGGACCTGTTTTTTTTTCAAAAGCGAAATATTCCGTTTCAAAAAAATTGTGGCTTATTATGTAAGCTTATGTTTTGTCAGCTTAGTTGCCACATCTCAGAATTGTCGGCGTATTATGTCTGTTTTGTCGGCATAGTTGCCACATCTAAGAATCGTTTATTTTTCCTGTAAACTATTTTCCTTGTAGTTGCTCTTTGTCCTTTAACATTTAAAAAAAATCGTTCGAATGGAAATTTGGTTTTTACATTGGATGTAATTTTACCAACTCGATTTGTTGAATTTTCGTTTTTGGTGTAATTTTCGTCTTTTTTGGGATTAATTGGTTTTGTTGTTTTCGTCGACTAATGGCCTCCTTTTGCGTTTTTTGAGAATCGAAAAAAAGTTTGTGAGCGGGTGTGTGTGAGTTCTGAGGGGAAAAGGTGACTTCAATTTCTTTTTATTTTATTTTTTTTCTTCTTGAAGTCTTTGCTCAGATATTTTCAAACATTTTCAATTTCCTTATAGAAATAAGCATGATCGGAACATTTTGTGCTTCTTGTATAGCAATCGACTATCCTTGTTCAACGTAGTTTTTTTTTCCTTTTTTGCTTATTTTTAATGAACTTACACGTTTAGGTCGCGTGTTTTTTATTTGTGGGATATTCTTGAAGTTAATTCACAATTAAAAATTTAAAGTGGTTTTTACTGAAATTGAGTCGAACGCATCAGTCCAATGTATTTGAGAAACTTAACTTTTACATATGATTAATGTTCGGCTTTGGTGAGATTCAATTAGCTATCTCGGAAGACTGTGCCGCAAAAGTATTTGTTTATATTTTTCAACCCTAGTCAAACATTTGGTTTGAGCTTTTTTCACCTCCACCGTTCTTTTTTCATGTGTATTTTCTGCGATGAGACAAAACTGCGCTCTCGGATTACTAAGATGTAAAAAGCACCAAAAATCGATCTTCATTAAAGTTTTCACGTGGACTGATTTTATAGAATTCGTAGTTGAATCAAAATGTTGATTGATTGATACCTGGCATTGGGTTATTCTTGTAATCAAAGTGTCAGTCAAAAACAGTCTGAAATTGAAAGAGATCAATTATGAATATGATCTATAGAGACAAAATTTTAGCAAAATTTTGATATTTAACTAAACACTGTTCAGTAACAACTGTTAATGGGCTATATTTGACATCATTCAAGAAAGCGTCTTAATTTCTGATTTTTTTGTTTATTTATGCGGATAATTGCAATCGCTGTCATAGTTTGTTTTGAAGTTTTAAATGTTAGTAGCAGATGAAAGCATTTTAAAAATTTAAGGATCCAGCCAATTTTTCCTTCAATGGCTTGCGAACTGGCGTCATTCAAACATTTCAAAGTTATTAAGAAGTAAAAAGCCAACGCAAAAAGAAAATAATTAACTCGATATTCGAATTGTTTTTCCATAATAAAACACAGTAATTATTTCATTTCGCGTCATGAAAAATATGAAGCAAACTGTTTGAGAGAAAAAAAAACTGCATACCTAAGAAATGTTTGCTGTTTTTTCTGTAGTGGCAAAAGCTCGTTTTTGTAGGAAAGCCGAAAAAGCTATTTAGGGGGTTGTTAGTAATGGGGAGGATGGCAGCTACTGAGCTGACCGACAAAGGCTTCGTTGAGCTATATAAATACAAGCAATATCTGCATAGCGAGAGGCCAACAAATAAAAGATTTTCGGGCAAATTTAATTTATACGGCAATTTTTTATGTTGAAAGTTGTCATGTAAAGCCAGGTTGTCATGTAAAGCAAGTTGGTGAAAGGCAAGTGACATGGGACTAATTGTCCTGGGGTTGAAATGTCATGATGTAACTGGATTGTAATATCTTGGTGCCTTGGTTCATAATGAATTCAAGTTTCTTAGTGGCTCCTGCACCTTTAGGCTATAGGTAACGAATGAGCCTGGGACTACAAAGTTCCTGTATTCGAATCTGACCAGGACCTGTTATTTTTGAACGAACATTTTGTTTCAAATAAAATTGTCGGCCTAATATTTGTCTGCTTATGTTTTGTCAGCTTAGTTGCCACATCTAAGAATCGTTTATTTTTGCTGTAAACTATTTTCCTTGTAGTTGCTCTTAGTGTTTTAACATTTTAAAAAATCTTTCGAATCGAAATTTGGTTTTTACATTGGTTGTAATTTTACCTACTCGAATTGTTAAATTTTCGTTTTTGTTATAATTTTTGTCTTTTTTGGGCTTAATTGGTTTTTTTTCGTCGACTAGTGGCCTCTTTTTGCGTCTTTTGAGAATCGAAAAAAAAATTGGGTGTGTGAGTTCTGAGGGGGAAAGGGGACTTCAATTTTTAAAAAAAAATTTTCCTCTTGAAGGGTTCTGCTCAGGTATTTTCGGCTTTGTTACTTTTTAAGAGTATTGAACGTAGTGAGTACTCTTATATAGCTCTTGCTGATTTTTTGTTTGTTTGTTTTTTTCAGGAAAAAGTCTAAAAAATTGTTCACGCTCAATGACTTGTGTTTTCTTTTGACTTGTATTTTCTTTTGACTCGGTTTGACTTGTGTTTTCTTTTAAAGTTCAGTGCATTTCTTTTGTTAAAAGGAAGGTAAACTCCACTATTGAACAGCAAAGTTGTAAAGGTAACGAAAAACGTGATCGACTTTTAATTTTGAAAATGAAAATTCATTATCAGACTTTCCAGCGAAATAAAAGTTTTACTTATTGGTCCAGTTTTCTCACATTGGGTTAATTTTAACAAAAAAAAGTCCATCATAAATTTTTCTGCATTATTAGAGAGCTTTATAGACATGTATTTTTTCTTCGAAATTCCAAAGTTGAAAATATATTTTTGAAAAAACAAGTCAGTTTTTTCAGTTTCCTTGTGTTCATTATTCTTTTCCAACTGTCAGTTGGCTATGTTTGATTTTTGTAGGTCAAATTGATGCAACCGTTCGGCGCATCTGGCGTGGAGGTTAGACAACTGCTCGAGACGACAAAGGCTTGTTCGAATCCGGCCTTGACCTGTTTTTTTTTGTTAACTAGTCTTTGTGTATTTTTCTGACTATCGTTTTGTTTTTGTTGTCTTAGTTCCCGTAGCGCGACGTTTTTTGATGGCTCAGTCTTTTTCCCGGTTGGTGTAAAATCCATGCTTGAGATTAAGTCCGGGAGTTCGATTCCAATCGAGACCTGTTTTTTTTTGGAAACTGAAAATTTTCGTCTGATTTAGATAATTGCCTGTTTGTTTATTTTTGTCTGCTTAATTCCGTTAGAAAGGAGTTATTGAAAATTCGGTTTCCTTCTATCATTCCCAAAGCTCCTTGTATATTCAATGGTACAGGTATTCTTTGGATTTTTTGGGCTTCTGTTGAAATTTTCACTGACAAAAACGGTTTTTGAAGTTCTTTTTTCAATTTATTTTTCCTCCGTTTGATTTCAACCATTGTCATTCATTTTTATATCGCAAATGTTGCTAAGCTCATCTTCGCCTGTGTGATAGAATATGAGTATGCAGTTCTTGTAGAAGATCAGGCAGGTCGTCTGGTAGCAGGACATATTACCCTATTCCATCTTGTCCCCTGCCAAATCGCCGTATACCAATTTACCTTGTGTTCCATTTTGTCCTATGACAGTTTACCAAATGCTAATTTGTCTTACTCCCGATTGTGTCGCAATCAGTTTTATTCTTTGATGTACTAATTCAATATCGAATTATAATTTTTAAATCAGCACGTTAATTCATTCAAGGCCACAATTCAGGACTCAATTAAGTGGCAAATTCAAGCTAAGTGTTCTAAAGACGCAATTATCACAATTAACTAAGTTAATACGCAGTTTTCATACGTTTAGAATAGAATGAATGCAAAACTGTTTCATCCTGTCTTTTTCATTATTACACTAAAGCTGGAATCGCGAACTATACTTTTTTTCCCGTAAACAATTTTTCTCACAACAAAATTGAACTTGCTTTATGTTTGAACGTTAACAGCTTCCAGCTTTTATCACATTTGCTTTCGGTTGCAAAAAACATTTGGTTAAAATTCCAAGTAAGTATTGTCCAAAATGATCCTTGAAATAAGGCGTTTTAGAGAGCAATGTGCATTTAATTTTGTCCTAGAGCATATACGAATAGATGACATTCACTCTGACGATGAATTAAATGCCGCATGTGAATAAAATTTCAAAGCAATGTACACTGTTTTATTCGCATGGTGCCTTTATTTCATGATCAGAGTTAATGGCTTCTAATCGAATATGTTCTAAAGAATACTTAAAAGACATAGGTTAAGTTTCAAATTTAACGTGCTTAGGCTAAATAGATCTAGGTTAAGTTGGAACGTAGGATGAGTCGCACATGGTAAATAGGTATAGAGTAAATTAGAATCGGTTAAATCTTCAAGTAACAGGCCCTCTAACCTCGAGTTAAATCATTTGTGAATTGATCTTACATATAACCGGACACAATCAAAAGCGACATTAAATGGAAAACTAACGACACGAGTTTACAAACCACACTGGAATCCCGAGATTCCTCCCTTGTTGTGATTCCGGGACGATAAAACTTTGTTGAAAGTTACTTGATTCTCGATTAATTGATGAACAAGGCACGAGCTATTTTACATTCTCAGCAACTCTAAGTTATTTTCAATCAAGCGTAGCTGGAGTTTTTTCTGCCTAAGTACTAAAGTCAATTCACGTTGATACTTTCGTAGTTTTTTGATAAGGATTTTAATTGAGGTACGTTATTCGAAATAAAACTATTGATATCATGAAAACTTGTAGTGATCATCCACCAAGATTTGCAAATTATCGATTTTCCTGGTTCTCTGTCTATAATTTGTATCCGACACTTTTTTTTCTTAAAATTAATTAAATATTTTATTCAATAATTTCCAAAAAAGTTAATGTTAACATTTTCATCGCAGTTATCATTCAAAGAAAATGGTCACATTCTCATTTGCAGTAAAAATTTGGTCCAAAAATGAAATCGAAGATTGGTATTTTTTGTTCATAAAAATCAGCATTCTTCGTCGCCTTCGTCTCCCTGGTGGAGCAGTTCCTCGTCATCTTCTGCCGTGGCCTCCTGATACTGCTGGTACTCACTAATCAAGTCTCTCAGATTACTCTCAGCCTCACTGAACTCCATGTCGTCCATGCCTTCGCCTGTGTACCAATGAAGGAAGGCTTTGCGAGAGTACATTTTGCCAAACTTCTCAGCTAGACGCGTGAACATCTCTTTTATCGCGGTGCTGTTGCCTAAAAAGCAAATTTTAAGCAACGTCGGCTTCAAAAATATTTGGAGAAATGTTTCACTTGAATTGAGGTTGAAAGTAATCATTTGTATGGTTAACCACGCTCGCCATTAGCCAACTGTATCAAATCGGAACGTATGCTCTTTTTCCAGATTAAAAAACTGTTACAGAATTTCTTGATAGCTTGATTTATCGCCAAATGAAACGCAGTCTTATATCTGGTTTAGTGAGGTGTAGCGCCCATGTGTTCAATTTGGGACAATTAACGCGCGATATATTTCGCGCTATTAACGCGTAAGCGGAGATTTAATCCGTCTTAGAAATCGTTCCAAATTGGTTGAAAGAAGCTTATTAGCCATAATTGATTTGTTACAAGGAGCGTTATCTATTCTTTTGTTTTTTATATGGCGTGTGGGGTGATGATTTCATGAAAAATATTTTTTCATTTTTTTTATTACATTTAATTTTTTTTATGTCATTACTGCTCCCTAAACCTTAAAAGGCAGTCGGAACATTCAGGGCTTTGCCCTGGTACGAGCAATCTTGTTTGTTTTAGTATCTTTTTGAATTTTTTTTCGGCTGAAACGATTTCTACTCAGGTAATTTTGGCTTTTTTTTTTACTGTTTAGAAGTTTTTGTCCAATGCTAATTTAACGTTTTTTTCCTGGCATGTTTTTTTCAGAAGTAGCATCATTCATTTTGATGCATCTAGTTTTTTAAGCATCTCTGAATTTTTCGACTTTTTTGTGTCGCAGTTTTTACAGTCAATTTTCTCACACATTAAATGACATCGATTTTGTACAGCAAGTGATCCGGAGCTTCGTTTTGGCCCTGGGCCTTGAATTTGTGAGGAATCCGTTTTTAATGAACCACAGTTTGGGGTCATTTGTTAACGGCTAGTCAAAACGTGTATCGAGCTATCAATTTGGCGGTGGAATTGATAAATTTCTTTGCCGTGGAGTTAACTTGTTATGCTGTTCATTCTGTTGTAATTTAATGGTCTACATGCCGGTTAGATTTTCTCGAAAGAGTCTACTTGCCGATGAAAGTAGCCGACATATTCAGTCCCTTAGGCGGCATATCACAAACTGCCGTCTTCACATTATTGGGAATGAACTCGACGAAGTTGCTGGAGAACTTGTTCTGCACGGCCAGCATCTGTTCGTCCACTTCTCGCATCGAGCACTTGCCTCTGAACACGACAGCACACGTGAGGTACTTGCCACTCCTCGGATCACAGGACACCATCATGTTCTTGGCATCGAACAACTGGGCGGTGAGGTCGCTCACTGAACTGGCGCGATAGCCAGCGGTTTCCCTGGATACGAAAACTTTTTTTGATTTTTTGAAGGTTGGAGTGGGACCAAGATTTTAATGGCGCCATTCTTTAAGGCCTTCTTTTCCTCCTAAATGCTGCATTCTTATTTGACATAACTTTATTGAACTTAAGAGCTGTTGCCGTTTTTTAATACTTATGGCTATGAACCCAGTCAGCTATTTATTCTACTTTGAACTGAGTGGTGCGTATCCAGGCATGAAGAAGTGGAGCCGTGGAAAGGGGATCATGTTCACTGCCAGCTTCCTCAGGTCGGCATTCAGTTGACCTGGGAATCGGAGACACGTAGTGACCCCACTCATGGTCGAACTGACGAGTCGGTTGAGGTCTCCGTAGTTGGGCTGTTTGATCTTGAGGGTGGTGTTGCAGATGTTGTAGAGGGACTCGTTGTCTATGATGTAGGTGGCGTCTGTGTTCTCCAGCAGCTGGTGCATGGATAGAGTCGCGTTGTAGGGTTCCACCACAGTGTCCGATACCTAAATCAATTTGACCTTTGTGTCAGTTTGAATATGCTTTAGAAGCTTAAGGTTCTGATGTCCTCTTCTTGTGCCATTTTTGTTTGCTTGAATAAAAAGGCATCAGTAAAAATTAAACAGGATATGAATGACTAGCTTGTAATTGAATTTTGTGTTATCGGAATGCATGTTCAAATTTTCAACACAAAAGTTTTGAACTTAGATCGTCTTAGAAAACTATTATAGTTTTTCGTTTATCATAGTGTTTTATTTCTGATAAAAACAAACTTGATTGCATAAGTATCAGCCCATTAAAAGAAGACGAGCAAAGAGGCATAACTATTCTTTCTACCTTAATATTTGAGTAATGAGTTTTTGAAGCTGGAAAAACCTTCCGAAGAACTGATTTAAGTTCATTTCATTTAACTGTAATAGGAACTTTCTGTGTGCTGATTGCACAGTATTGGACTTTTTTGTTTATGCTTGCAAATTGCAAACTGCAAGCAACTTGATCTGAGCTGCATTTGTAAAACTGTTTTCTTCTACCTTGTCAGAAGGGACAACAGAGAAGCTATTGACCATCCTGTCAGGGTACTCCTCCTTCATCTTAGCGAGCAGCAGAGTCCCCATGCCAGACCCAGTACCTCCTCCCAAGGAGTGTGTCAGTTGGAACCCCTGCATGCAGTCACAACTCTCCGCCTCCCGATGAATCACATCGATCACTTGGTCCACCAGCTCAGCACCTTCAGTGTAGTGACCCTTTGCCCAGTTGTTCCCAGCTCCTGACTGCGCGTGAACATAGTTGTCCGGTCGGAAAAGTTTGCCCAGTTTTCCTCCTCGCAACGAGTCCATAGTTCCCGGCTCCAAGTCCACCAAAATAGCCCGAGGAACGTACTTTTGACCACTGGCTCCAATGTTATAGTATACATTTATCCGGTCCAGTTGCAAGTCGTTGTCGCCCTCGTACGCGCCATCGCCGTTGATCCCGTGTTCCTCTGAAATTGTTTCCCAGAACTTTTGACCAATTTGGTTTCCGCATTGACCTGTCTGAATATGAACAATTTCTCGCATTTTGATTTTGCAGCGACAAAGAGTCTCAAAGAAGTTAGAATCTGGGTAAGATTTAGTCACTATATTGCAGAAAACTATTGACTGAATCGTCAAATTATTAGCAATGCAAGTACGTTTTGCGGTTCTGGAGATAAGATAAAAATGTTGACCTTACTTTGAATCTCAAACAATATGAAAGCGTCTCTTCACCTTAACCTGCTATTACTATTCTCATTTGATCGAAGTTGTCCTTCTTTGATGAACCTCTGTGATACAAACATTGGTTTTTGAAATCATTTTGATTTGAATAATCGTAGAAAATGTTTTTTTTTAAGCTTCATAATCGATTCGTTGCCTGGTTCTTGAAGATATTTTTTTCACTTATTATTTTACTAGTTCTATTCATTGAATAGTTTTCCTGTTTTAATTTGATGTTCTCTCTAAAGTTAGAAATATATCCTGTGAATGGCAATATTTAAGTAACAATATTACTATTTAATCAGAACTTTGTACCAAGTTATTGGTGTATCCAACTGATGTGGTAGATCTTTACGTGTACTCAATGTTCACTATTCTGCGCTTAACTCTACGCGCAACTATGTTTACTCCGATGAGTTCAAGAAATTAGAATTAGTGTGACTTCCAATTATTAAAAAAAATAATTGAAATAAAATTTAAAGTTACTTATTGAATTTGATTATGAGTTTTAATTTTAATTTACTTCAGAAGTATTGTTAATGTTTGTTTGATTGTTCAAACGTTGTTGGCTGCTGATTACACGAGAACAATGATTTCTATTCGTCTATTAATATGACCTGAATTGATCTTTCTGTAACATCTCTCTGAATATTCTGCCCATTTGGACTCCATCTGAATCTGGAATTGAATTAAGCGAGGCATGCAAGCCGCTTCAGAGGACAGTGACACCGACTTCTCTCCACCTAGTTCCAGCCAGTTAGTATTCATTCATTTTTTTGCATACTTTTCAAACGAATTGGCCGGCCGATATAAAATTTGTTGTAAAAACTTGTTTAGAAAGCTGTTGGCATAGTTTTCCATAGTTCCTCTTAAATGGTAGTTTTTATCATGCGGGATTTAACTTTTTCTGAAAGTAAATATTTCATTAAACAATGTCTTCTAGCCTGAAACTGACCATTTTTCGTATATTTGATAATAAAGTTTCTATATATGAATAACTTCCAGTCATACAATGTCATGAGTACAGAAAATTGAATGAAATCTTTGAGATAAGAATTTTTCATATATGAACATTGTAAGACAAGCAATTTTTGATACTTGAAACTTTTATGAAAATTAACAATTGATGAAAATGATCTGATGACACCAGATCAAAACAAAGTCCAATTTAAGACAATTAATTCAAATGAGGTGATAAACTGCGTGACTAAACATCCCTCCAAACTGATGGGCAACCCCAACAGCTTCGGAAGAAAACAGCCTTTACATAAAATTTTTGATGTACTCTTGCTCTACTCCGATGTGAATAAACATCCAATCCAAATGCCCCAACTCTAACACCACCTCTTTAATTTTCCACCGAAGCCAACATCTCTAAAACTTGACGACCTCTAGGATAATCCATTTGAAGCCGCAAAATGGCTCAAACTACCAACATAACGGGGCACATTCGGGAGTTTATCAGGGTTCTCCGCTTTTATTTGAAAACCGGCTTGAACCAGGCACGGCACTTTTGGTCGGTTTGGTGGCTCAGTTTCAGTATTATTATAGATTTGCCCGTGTTAAGTATAAATTAATAGTAGCTCAAACGGTGCATATACAAAACAGACCCATACAAAATAGTCCGAAGTATCAAAAAAGTTCCAAATAACATCCTCATACAAAAAATCCAAAACCATTTGAATTTTTTGACCTTGATCTTTTGGCGCCGGCAGAATTGATTTAACTTTGAAAAATGAAACATGAGCGTAATCAAAGATCAAAGATTGAACAATAAGTGTAATAATTCAGATCGAAATCAAAAGCCTCATGGGATAGACTCATGGCGTTAGACTCAAACTCTACAGATTCAAGGATCTGATCCCCCGCGGCACAAATTTTTCTAATTTTTTTCTGAAAAAAAAGTAGACATTTGGGTAAATATGATAACGGGTATATCTGGGGTACAACGAAGGGTTCAACCTTAGAGAGTTGGGCGAGGGGGAAAGGAAATCACTTTGTACTTATTCATTATTTTGCCGGTTTCAAATCGACTCTAGCTCAATTTTGAAAAATCAAGGAAAATAGTTGAACTTGGAAAATTTTTTATTGCTTGGCAATGTGGAATAAATTTGAAAGATGAAAACAAAAATTTTTTAATTATAATTTAAAATGATAGCTACATCTTTTCAAAAACCCAATGATATTGTTCGGAATGATATGACCCAATCATAGTGATTATGTTTTTGTCGAGTTTTTGTTAATTTACTTTTTTTTGGCTCTGGCCACTTTTGTCCTGCGCTTGTTTTTTCCAACAGAATTTCCTCATTTTTTGTTCATCGTTGACCTTTTCATTGAGCTCTGGATAGGAAGGGTGGTTGCTGTTGACTATTTTCACGAAATTGCTGTTTCAACCTTCTACAGCGTTATTGGTGCGGGGAACATCGTTTTTTACTCTTGAAAGTCACTCCATTGCAAAGTCAGCCTGCTAATATGTGTCCTCGAAATAGTCAAATTCTGGTTGACTTTCTTCAAATGTCATAGCTTGAAGAAGCTCGAACCCAGCGGGGGCGTCCTTTACGGTCAGAAATGCTGTTGTGAGAAGCATTCGATTAAGCTGACGAAAATTAAGTTCATTGTTGTACAAAATCAATTGTAACGCGTTTGGGGACTGAACTTTTGGAACATTAAGTAGGCGACAATGAGTTGATTCTTTTTGTTTGGTTAGCAGAGAGTAATAAAAGTGGAATAATGCACCCTTCAACTAAAGCGTGTTTTGATAGAGTACATCGGGAGCAGTCGTAAACGTTCCATCGCAGAAACTATCCTTTGATAAAGATAATAGGTCTAACCCAGGTAACGTGGCGAACACAAAACCCGATTTTCATCTTGGTGACTAGAGTTGTGCAAACGGACTTGTTTCCCATCGTGAGATTTTATAGGGCCAGTGGTAATTCAAAGCCAGTCAGCGAAGTTGGCGGTCTTTTTTCGCGTCGAACTCTATTTACAACTTGGTGATTAGCAGAATAACTTGGTAAATGAACAGCTGTTTCTCGATTCACATCACGTTGCGCTGCGAAAATAGTCTGCCGTGGTGTTACATCTGAAATTGTTGCTCGATATTTAAGCGTTTTTCTGAACTTACGTTTTTCGATGTCAGCCGGATCGGCGAACTGGCAGTGATCATCAAAGATCTCAACGGAGTCCTCTTTGGTACGACGCACACGTCCATTGGACTACTTTATGCGCAGCGCTAGGAAAGGAAGTTGTCTGACAGTGTTCATTGTTTGATATAAGCATACCCATCAAAAATTAGTAAATCAGAATTTTTGCTAGTAACTGTAGTTTCCGTCGATAGTTAGTGAATTTTCGCAAATGAAACATTTTGAACCACCTGTCTCTGGTTGCATGGATTAAGCAAAGCGTCTAATTTTTTAATCGCGTTAACTTTTTGTTCCGCGTATTATTGCTTCTAATGCGTAGCCTCTGCTGTTATCTAGGTTGTTCCCATTTCTATGCTATTCTATCTATTGTCATCTGGATTAGTTGGCACCAAAGTGTTTTTGATTGGAAAGAACTTTTCTTGTCAGTTTCTGGAACAATTATCACCTCGATTAATGGGACTGTTTTTTTTCTACTATTTTCGGGACGGTTTTTTGTACTTTGCTTTGATTTTCGGACTATTATGTACAGGACTGTTTTGTATTGGACTGTTGTGTACAGATACGGCTCCGATCGTATGGTTCATTAATTTAAACTTTCGCATTTTCTCATTTTATCTAATCACAGCATTTTTTATCTGATTTAATTTGTGATTTTTTTTTACATCCGTAAGTTTTGTTAGTGATGTTTTTCGCAATTTATTTAAGATTCCGATTTGCCTTTGATTTCTCTGAAGCTCGCTCTTCTTTTTCTGGGTTCAAGTGGGAATTCAATCGAACTCTCCAAGAAGGAAAGTGGGAACGGTTTAAAGTGTTATAATTGAGCCTGCAAAATTAAATAGTTGAAAAATCAGTGGTTTTTTCTTTATCCTTGACTTTTTGCCAACTGCCTGTGGGCTATAATTATCTTTCACTGAACATAGTTGAATCCGTGTCTAATAGTCGATTTAAGTACCTACGACAGGAGCGAACTTAGGCCCAAATATGGCAGTTTGGGTGCGAAGAATGACGCACCCAAACTTCATCAATTCAATCCGAAACTGCAAAATTGGTCTAGTCCTTTTTGGCGATAATCATTTTTGCCCGACTAAACCAACATCAAGAATCGACGAATTATTGTTAATAAAGCAAGGATTTCGTATTTCAAAAAATGGCTGCATTCTGGAAATGTTTTCAAAACCAAGGTATCTTAAGTGAAAAGGAACATGTAAATTGTAAATCGGTCTGTGGCGTAATAATTTTTTCTCTTATCTTTTTTTTGTCTTGCAATTAGCAAGGTTACCGCAATCCCGGACGCTAGACATTTTTTTTGTTAAACACTTAGTCACGGGTTTCTCAGGGGAGAAAGTTACGACGTGTTTTAACTTGTATTTTGTAGTTGTTTTGCTGCTGCTGTTGTTGTTGTTCTGGTTAGCCTGAACATCCGAAACTTGTCCGTAATAGATTGATGGTTCGAATCACGGTCGGACTCTTTTGCAAATCTATTTTGTCTTTGCTTTCGCTGAAAAGTTTTTTTTTCGGCTTAAAATGTTTCGGCGTCTTCCTGAAAACTGGTGTTAAATTATATGCGATTAATAATCGCACGAAATCATTGAAAATTAAACAATATTTGGCTCTTTTGTGAATTAATTTGGTATAAATATTTTATAAAGTAATTTTTTTCTCGTTTTTTTTTCTTATTATTTTTTTAAGTTTGTCACCAAGTCGTGTTCGGGTAGACTCTCGATAGGTACGTATTGTACCTTTAGTCTATCCATTCCATTCTGGTATTTTGTACAACAATCATTTTGAGTTTCCTAAAATACTTAAAAATTACTGTTGTATCTGTAATTTTTATTCTGTTTTGGAGAAATTAATTCTTTCTTTTTTTCTTTCTTTGCTCAGTAGGATATAGTAGTTATTTTTGTCAATAAATAACATTTTGTTGGCTCAACTGATGTCACACTATGTATTGTCGATTGTCAGCTCTTTCATTGCTTCATGCGTTTAACTTCTGACTGTTTTCGTATTTTTTTTTCATTTTTTTCAAACGAGTGCTTCGACTTCCGAAATTTTTGTCTAAATTTATGTCGTTTAACTTGTGATGCTATGTTTGTGATGTATCGGAAGTGGTAACAATTGATGCAACCAAGTTGTGAGTAAATCTCATTATCTGTCTACATTGTTTTTTGTTTAGACGTGCTGCGGGATCCGGCGGCAGCAAACTAGGCAACATTTTCTCAGAAAAATCAGCCAGTTCGAATTCGATGAATGGACCTCTGAACTCTTCCGTCAGTTTCAAGTACAAAAACAATTCAAACGTGTCCAGAAGAGGTTCAACCAACAAACAGACTGAGAAAAGTGCTAACGACTCCAGTATGAGCATCATCTACCAGGATTCAATCCAGCTGTTCCAATAGTATGTTTTACTGGTTTATCTGTTACACGACTCAATATTTTTGTTGCTACGTTTTGAGTATTCAATCATAATGTTTTAAGCTCAATAAATTTCTAATCGTCCACAGAAAACAACCGACACGTTTTAATTGTTAGCAATCCGATGTATTATTTTTTTTGTTGCTACGTTTTAAGTAATGAATCATAATGTTTTTAAGCTCAATAAATTTAATTTCTGATCGTAAACAGAAAACAACCTGTTTTAATTATTAGCAATCCGCTTAATTTCTTTTAAGATTTTTTTACACTTTGCGATTAGAAAGCGTTATCAAACCGGGTTATAGATTTTTTGCCGTAAACAATTTGTCTAACAAGATCTAAGCATCATTTGATATCTTTTTATATAATCAATTTGAGCTCAGTGTCTAATTCTGTTTATTTAGTGCTGATCTAGTGTCTATGCTTGGGACTACAGAGGTCTTTGCTTCGAGTTCGACCTACTTACACGTCTTCTTTTTACAGACTGACTCAGTTTTCTGCTTTTTTGTCGATTTATTTGCCAATTTTGTCAAACTTTTGCAGAGTCGAAAAATTGCACAGCTGAATTTTTTTTTAAAAAACTGCGCAGCTCGCAATTTTCGTTTGATTTAAAGAGTTTTCTGGACCTGCTTGTTCGTCCATATTTATGTTTTTCGTGTCAAAATAAATTTAAATTTATATCAAAAATGATAGTCGAGGTTAAATTTTGAAATGAGGGTAAATTTTGAGGTTAAAAGCATCTTTAACCCTATTTAAATGCCATTTTGACATCTTACTTTAATGGTGAAGATAGTTGATTTTCTCAAAATTTTTTCTGGCAGTTTTATCATTTTTTTAAATATTTTTTGATATTCTACTTTGCCTTTTCGTTTTTCGCAAGAAAGCATTGAGTTGATTCTCATATCTTAATCTGCGGGAATTGTTTTTCTTTTGATTACATAAATTTAAAATATAATCCTTTTTTCCCTTTTTCACATATGGTTCCTTTGTCAGGATTGACTTTATCGAATAAATTATGTATTTTGAGTTTTTTTATAGATTTTTTTGTATACCCTAACCATTTTAACGACAAAAGAATTAAAAACCAGTCATTCAGACGAAGTTCATTTCGCGTTTTTTTCCAAAATCAATTAAAATTTTATAGTAGACCGACACAATTTAAAATATTGGAATTCTGTTCGTTTTTCGTCTTGAAGATCGTTATGGTTGTGATCGGTGTGTTCCATCCTGCATGAAAATAAGCCTTTGGATTATTTTGTTCAACAAATCCGAATAATGCATTAATTAAAACAGAAATTTAGTTGCAACTGAACGCTGTTTAGAAAATTTCTACTGCAAGCCATATACTGCAAAATGGGCATTTTAATGAATGGATTAAATTATCGCTCTAAAATTAACTCATTTTCGCTCTAAATAAGGTCAGAAAACATTATTTCAAGTCAGTTTTTTAGAGTCGATGAATGTAGTTCAGACTCCTATATATGACGAGATGATTTTTTCAGGAAGTCTTAAAGTTTGTTCAGGCTCAAATTTTCTTTTTCGCGGCAGTTTTTCAATTTTTTTTCAAAATTAACTTTATTTCCTTTTTTAAAATGAAGGCAAACTCCAGCGTTGAGCAATAAACGTGTAAAGATCTCGAAAAACATAATCGACTCCTAGTTTTGAAAATGGAATTTCATTTTCAGCCGGTGAAATAACAAGTTAACCTATTGATTCAGTTTTCTTAAGTTTTGTTAGTTCTATCAAAACAATGTCTAAATTTTAAATATTTGAAACGCCGATTTTAAATATTTGAATCGCCGAGTTTTTGTGATATTTTTTTGCTTTCTAATATTTTGTTTCGGTTTCTTTCAGTTCATTTATTTTTCCAACTGTCTTGGCTGTGTTGGTTCTTTTTTATTCTATGAGGTTTCGTACATGGAATTTATTTCATATCCTATCTTAATTGATTGATTAAAACTTGTAAAACTTTGATGTAGTTTTTGTACGAACTTGTCGTCACATTTATTAAGTGCGAATGAACGAAGTGATTCAACTTTTTTGTAGGTCGTAAAGTCCTGATTTTGTTCTAGAAAAAGTCACGCTCAAAAGTGATTCTTCGCTTTTTCGATTTGGATGTCAAGTGTCAATTTAAAATTCGTTTGCAAAATGGAAGGAAAGTTACACACTCAAATAAAGAACTTGCAAGTGCTGCGAAAAAAACCTGAAAAATTTTTTGTTTCAAAAATGGATTTTCAGAATTCCCAGCTGATTCCTTTATGAATTACCTTCCGCTCTTTTTCTCTAATTGGGCTAGTTTAATGAAAATATCTCAATCAGAAAAGTTGATTAAAATTAAAACTGTGTAATTTCAATTTTGGCGTTATCGAAAAGAGCAATACCGAATTTTCTTATTTTGGCGGAATTCTTTTAACAACTGAAAGCTATTGATGTTTTAAGGTTTCAAACCGTCTTTCGAAATTGATCGTGAATGGTATTTAAGATAATTTGTTTGTTCTTTAGTTTGTTTTTCATCGTTTTCATTTATTTTTATATCCCAAAGCATTTCTGTTTACTTGCGTTCATTATCTTTTTCGACTGTCTTTCGGCTGTGTTTTTAATTCGAGAAGTTGTTGGACACTTAATGATGCTAAGTTTTCCGTACAAATAAACAATCGAATAAATTGTTCAAAGACGACAATATAATTAAATTTCCAGCCTGTTGGAATCTTTAGTGCCTTTTCTCTTTTTATGAATGTTAAAAATCTTGTTTCAGTCAAGAGAATAAACATATCCCAGTTGGTCAGGTCGGAGTTGCAATACTGGTTGACCCAAATACCAAAGCTGTGAGTAAACATTGTTTAACATGTTTAAAGACTTGTCTCTGGTTTCCAGTGTCGTACACACACCAAACAGTATGCCTATCCAGTGCACAGTTTGGCCGCGTAATGTCGGCCATAAGAGCAGATGAGCGGTCTGCCCCCAAACGAATCAAATGAATTATTGGACCCCAAAAATTTCAACCATGTTTTTTGTACCGGATCATATTGCAAATACTGCTTTCTGATCGGTTTTAGATGATTGCACTACCCTAAAAGAACATTTTTGCAGGTAAATCAGCTTAACTTACACCTGAACTGGGCTGATTTTGTAAATGGCCGTTGATAAAAAGTTATTGCATGTAACCAGTAATTTTTGAGCTTGAAGGATTTTGTTTTTGTTACAAAAGCAGCTGATTTCGGAGCTTTTTTGTTATACGGCCCCAAACTCATCTTTTTGGTAAGTTGAAAATTGGATTAAAGTGCTTGAATAAACCGAAATAAAAGAGAAGTAAATCTGAAACTCAATTTTTCCAAGAAACTAGCCCATCAAATAATTCGTAATTTAGGGCCGTATAACAGAAAACATTCGTGATTTTTTAACGTATTTGTTTTTTTTTGCATTTTTATCCAATGAAATGTTCTCGAGCTAAATCTTAACGCGCTGTAAATACTTCGAAATCAAATTTTTTGTTCTAAAATCGCCGCTATTATTATTTACAAAAAAGTATCGTTTATTCTGTGTTTTTAGACGAACTGTATATTTAGTTTTTCTTCTGTTTCAGTTCAATCTGATTATTTACGGGAGCAAAAAGAGCACACTTGTGAACATCACAATCGACTCAAATCTGACTGTAACAGTGAGTATGGATTTTCATTAAAAAAGTAATTGCGCAGATTTTGTAAACCTGTTTTATAAAAACTTTTTGGTACTTGCCTATGTTTCAGCCTCAGAAGGACAAGTATGTGTGCTTTTACGACCAGAGGCGACAACTGTGGTACCTGCTCTTCAATGAAGAAAAGAAATTGATTTCATTTTGCGCAAATGTAAGTATCAGAGGGCAGATTGCTTCTATATGTTATCAATCAGACGGCTAATTACTTAACATTTGAACATTTTTTTCAGTACTGTTTTCAAGAAAAACTAAAATAAACGGCTCTTTTCCAGTCCCCCCCCCCTTTCAAATTACCGAGTTTTATGTTTGTTTTACGTGTTATTTCGGCTAAATGCGTGATGTTACGCTGTTAAGTATGAAGAACAAATCTGTTCAGAATTGTCGATTTGTTCACCACGCCAAATTTCATTGCATTTTGACAACGTTAAAGAAGCTTTTCAAAATTGAATTTGAAAGGTGGGGGGAAACTGGAAAAGAGCCAAATAAACTGAATAAATATGTTTTTATTTCTCGCCTTTTTCGCGTCAAATAAAAATCAAAAATTGATCTTTTGAAGTTCTCGACTTTTTTTAGATATAACTATATTATGGCTATAAATTATGACGCAACTATTTTCGCGCCAAATATAAATGCCAGGATTTTTCTTGACAGGATTTTTCTTGCTTATATCGGCTTAGTTAACTTATGTTGCGTACTTTTTTCTAGGGCAAGTTTTTTTTTACATGTTTTTGCCTGTTTCAGAAGGGACGGGTCGTGAAAACTTAAATGTGCTCATTATTTGGTGGCTTTTAAGCATTTTTATATCTGGTTAACTTTTGCTCCATCACATTATCTTTTTGTATATGGCTTATTAGTGGCTAGTTCGTTTGATAAAATTTAGATGATGGGAAATTTTTTGGGATTTGGTTTAGTTTTTTATTATTTTTTCAGATGTTCATGAAAACTTTTGCCTTGCTCGATTTCCGGTTGACTTTCCGATTTCCTTTTGACTTTTCGAAAAAGTGGTATTAATAGAGAGATCGTCTTCTCTTCTGTGTGCCTGAATATTGCTCTAGTCTCTTTTCACTTTATCGAATGTTCTACGAGAACTTCAGTCGGAGTTTTTGACCCAATTTTTGATTATTATCTTAAACGAAAATCACAACGATAAATCAGAGATTATGGGTTCAATCAAAGAGAGTGTTCCGGGATACCCATGTATAAGCTGCTACGCCCTAATTTTGGTAGAAAAAGAATTTTGAAACTTTTTCCTTCTCTCGAAAACTACTATGCCGAATCGGAGGTTAAGGGTTTAATCGAATGAACAGATTGTGAACCATCGCCGCGGTGTCGCCCTAATTGTTTGATGAAAAATTAATCGCCTTACAAATGTACAGTGTTTGATAATTTGCTCGATTATTTTTGCTCGAAACCTACACTGCCAAATCTGAGATAGAAGCGAAAGCGGGAAGTTGGAGAATTCTCAGTTCCTGAGCAACTACGTTCTTATTTTTGTAGAAAAACAGTTTTGGAAAAATATATGTATTTTTTTGATATTAAGATCGTTTTTCGGAGACTTTTGTCAAGCATAATAAGGTCAATCCGATATAAAGATTTCAATCGAAAGAACAAGTGCTAGGAAGTTTGTCTGCGTAGCGGCTACGTCCTATCTCTTTGAAAAAGTGTTGTTAAATTTAGAAAAGGTCCATTTTTCAAAATATTGACCGTTTTCTGGATATTGTTTGACTTTTCTCAAATTTGAGATTAAGGGTGTAATCGAATGAAAAAGCCGTAAGATTATCCCCTGCATAATCAAAATTTATCCCCTGAATAATACGAAGATGTTATCTCCCCTGCAAAAGCGTGTTATTCGTCTTTTTGTTGTTAAGAATCAGCTATGGAGTTAGAAAATGTCCATTTTGAAAATAACTCTTTCCATTTTGCACTATTTCATTTTTACACTTGCGAAAGCAAGTGTCTTGTAATCAGGAACTATACTTTTCCCGTAAACAACTTTTCTTGCAAATCTTGCTTGCTTTATTAGTGAAGCTTAAGAAGTTTCAAGTTCGTTCCCACTTGGCCTAGAGGTAACACCGTCGCAATTGTACCCACAAGTCAGGGGTTCGAGTCCCGGCTGGAACTTGTTTTTTAACTATGTATGCAAATACAAATTTTGACGGAAATTTGTTATGTCTGCTCAAGTTCTGTCGGCTTTGCTGCCACATCACGGATTTTGCTTGTGTTGTAAGCAACTTGCATTGTATTTGCAAGTGTTGTTCAATGTAGTTTCAGGGGGATTTGGTTTTTTTTATAAATTGTTTTTTTTGGGCTCAACTGGTGCCTGCTTTACGATTGTCGGTTTCGCTGCCGCATCGCGTATTTTCCTTGGGCTGCAAGCAACTTTCATTATAGTTGCATGCGTTGTTCAATGTACTTTCAGGGGACTTGAATTTTTTTTTAATTTTGGTTTTGGCTCAACTGGTGTGTGCTCTAAGATTGTGGGCTTAATTGCTTCATCACGGATTTCGTGTGTGTTTTAGGCAACTCTCATCGTAATTGCAAGTGTTGTTTAACTCTAAATTTTTACTTTTATGTATAGATTATTTTTTTTTTCGGCTCCACTTGTGTCTGCTCAAAGATTGTCGGCTTCGTTTTCTTTTCGTAAGCTTAAGTCTGTTGCTTATTTAATATTCAAATGTCTGACGCCTTTGCCTATAAAGAATTTCCTAGGCTTACGAAAATTTAAGTTTTAGTGGACCGAGTTTTTACAGTTCTTCATTTTATTTCGACTTATGTTTTTTTTTATATTTGTGTTGTTGCGTGTGATGCGAAGCTCTGCTTCACCCTTTTGTATAAGGCGTTTTCAAACGGGGTACCTTCAGCTTTAGCTGGGTTGTTTAACTATTGCTAGGCGGCCACTGTGCAGATGCTAGGATGTGCGACTTTCATTCCCCAGTTCGGGGGTTCAAATCCGGATTTTGCAGAATTTTTTAAAACCTTGTTGAGATTTTTCCTATCTCTCGCCTGCTTCCAAAGTGCAGCTTCTTTTTCTTTTCTGCGTAAAAAACTCATAGCTATCGGCTTACCGAGCGTGAACCCAAGTTTTTTCGCCGTACTTGCCGCTCGGTCATTGATTCCTAATGTTTGTTAAGGCTGTTTATGTGAACATCATCCAAGAAAAGGGTATGTAAATTTTGTATATATAATTTTTATCGAATCTACTTAACAATTGCCCACCCTCCGCCCCCTTTAAGAAAGGGGGGCAATTGTTAAGTAGATTAAAATAGCGCATTTTCGACCAATCGGAATGCAGCAAAATTATAATTCTCAATAGAAAGCTCAGTGCTAATCTACTGCTTTTTTAAATAGGGGTGGCATTTCTTAAGTAGATACCAAAGGTAGGGCGATTGTTAAGTAGATACGTTTTTTTGACTTTCAGTAATTTTTTCAGCCTAATGTTTCAAAAAAAATGAGTTCCTTCTTTTTTTAAAATAAAATATCTTGTAATACAATGTATTCATTGTATCGCAAAGTGTTGCGAAACTCAGCTTCGCTTCTGTGTTCAAACTGTTTATATGAAGCAATTTGTTTGTTCATTTTTTATTGATTTCGATATCATCAAGTGGGTTAGCTTTTTAATATTATTTTTCCACCTACAGATGGTGAACGAAAAGGACGGCTTTCCATATAATGAACGGACTGATTGATGGAAAGCCAATCAAAATCGAGTTGTGATAAAAAAAAATGGAGTTATAGCCAGCAGCTGACAGAAAAAAACTAAGATAGAACATCCATAGCATTACAAAATAATGAGATAATGCAAATGTGGTGATAAGTGTTTCGAACATGCCAGAACCCAGGCACTAACTGTTAATTACAGCTCCTGAGGATTATCGTAGCAAAAAGCCACCAAGCGCGTAGCTTGCCAACCTTAGGCTTTAGGAAAGAATATTTTTGCAGTATGTCAATTTTCTGCATAAAGCGTTCAGCGAATAGGAACTTCTTACGGTTTTCTACGATTCTGATTGGGCGACAAGAATAGTCACCAAGGACATATTTTTAAAATGACTGGCCAAAGAAACACGCAAAATTAGTTTGAAATTAAATTGTCCTCAATATTTTTTGGTAGTAGTTCCTGTTTGATAAAAACAGGTATTATGAAAATGGATGGGATTTTTTTTGAAAGGCTTTGGAAAATCTTTTCTTCTTTCAAAGGTTTAGTTTTTCTCAAAAACTAATCTACCCGATTTTCAAAAAAGTTGGACCAATGGGAATATCTTTTTACCTTACCCCACTTTCTACAGGCTTCAAAAAAATGTGTGGGAGGAATTTTTGACCCATATTTTTGGTTTTGATACATTTTTCTCGAAAACTACCCTGGTTTTAATGGATTTTGGTTTCAATGGACAGAACAGCTTGTGGAAAGCTCCCCTGCATTAGCGGCTACGGCCAAATTTTCTTACACAAAAAGTTTTTGTTTCAATGGAAAACACGGGTTGTGGGAAACTTCCAGATTTTAGCGGCTTAGCCAATTTTTTTTACGAGAAAAATGATGACCCTCGGAAAAGTCATGCTTGTGACTTTTCGACCGTTTTTTCGAACTGTGTTTTCTCGGAAACTGCCCTCCCATATCTGAGATTTTGGTTTCAATGAGTAGATAGGGTTGTGGGAAGCTCTTGGGCATGAGCGGCTACGCTCAGTTTTTTTAAGCAAAAAAAGTTAGGCCTTGGAAAAACCAAATTATTATTTTTTTACTGTTTTTTGCAATTTTTTCTAAACTTGTTTCGAAAATTTTGAAATTACCCATTTCATCTCGCATAAGTGCAACAAATACAAAAATTATCAAACAGGTACCTCCAGCTTTAGCTGGGCCCCTAATATGATTGACAGTTTTCTTTAAAAAAAGCTACTATAATAGACAGGCCCCGAATAGACAATTACACTAATTTTGCATGTAATAATTTGAAATCTACAATTTGAATGTTTAATGTATTTGAAATAGCGCGAAGCATAATGAGTTATAAAAAATTTTGAATTGGAATTGTTATAATGATAATCTTTTTTTGAAGCAAAATGCTCGTTCAAAATTATTTCCTGATTTGAAAACCGTTAGTTGGGTGAACTTATTTTTACTCAAAGTTCAAATTTCCTGAATGATCACCTGCCTCTCAATTAACACTTTGCGAGCTGTATGCGTAGTTTCAGCAAGGCACCTGGGTAATTTTTAGGGACTCGTGTATCCTAGTAGTACTAAATGATCAAATTATTGCCTCGGTGATGCCTATTAAAGCATCAAGTACGTTATTGCAGCAGGCATGTTTGAGAAAACTTGAAAATGATTGAACGGCGCTTGTTGATTTAGGTAACAGTTTTTTCGTTGGGTCCCTGATTAATTCATGTATGAAAGATGGGTCCCGCAGAGTCCCGAAGGCTTTTCTCGAGGGGTTGTTGACCACATGTTGTCGACCGCATTGTTGTCGATCACATTGTTTTTTTTAGGCCGACCACATTGATTTTCCAAGCTCTCTGAAATCAATATCAAGACCCTATTTTGACCAATTTTTCTGCGCCACACTTCAAAAGCATTTTAAGGCAATTTGAAAAGTTGAAATCGAAAAATCACGGCTTTATAAGCGCGCTCCCCCCTAAAAATGAGGTATATGGTGGCGCTTAAGACGCCTTTAAAATTTTAGGGGCGGTGGGCTAAAATTTGATTCAAATAGTAAAATAGAATCAAAGGGTATACCGGTACGATCATGATAGTCAGGTCCCGTGAAAAAGCAAATTTGAAAGAAAAAACCCACCGTTTCATGCCTGAATATCTGTCGTATAGCTGTTTTTCCGTGATTGACTTCATTAAAACAGAATAAATTTGAACAAAAATTGAAATAACGAGTTTATTAGATATATTCAAATACGCTTGTTCTAATTGTAGTTTTGGGGGATTGTATCTCTAGGTTCGTTCTCTATTTTTTAACGACACGGCATAGTGGTCACTTGGATAGTAAATTCAGCGGGGCGACCGAGATTCATTACTATCTACAATCCCGAAAGGGTTAAGTTGGTGGCAACTATTCTGTATTGTATTATGTTGCTTGCCCCCTTCTTGTGTACTGCTCTTCAGGCTGTTTATACAATCGCAAGAACTTCAGGCTGTATATACAAGCTCGATACAACCGCAAGAATTTCCAATAGTATTTAATTTCGGATAAATATACGTCCAATTACAGATATAATCTGAGTGGCCAGATTATATCCTAATAATCAAATCAAAAAGGAAAGGGCCCACGAGTTATTAGCCTAATTGTCTATTACAGTTTGACTTCCAACTGACTCCACCAAACGGTTCTATCTCTCTGTAGAGAATTCTAACTAACGAATGCACAGTATTTCCACACAAACACTCAGTTTGGCCTGCTAAAATTAATAGTGTCTCTACGGATCATTATTCCTTTAAAGTAATTTAACTAATGTTTTTGTTAGCTTCAAAAATCACTGTTTTCACTCTGATGAGAACCAGCTATCTACTGTTTCTGCTTTAATTGTTCTCTTAATCCGAGAACCAACTATTCGACTCACTAGCATTAATTGTTCTCACTAGTTAACTGAGAACCAACTATACTCTATCTCTTTAAGGCTTTCCGGTACCCTCCAATTCCTTATTTTTTTACTTAGTTTTAGTTAAGTCACGCCATTCCCTATCAGTCCTGGCATCCGCTTAAATTGCTCGGCCGCACATGTTTAATGACTATATCCCTGCCCCTGTCAACACTGCCACATGGCATGTTGGGTTTCTTTTATCAATCTTTTCACGCCTATTAGAAACCCGGTATGCGGTATGTGTCACAATTTGATCAAGCAAACAAATGAACGATTCTAATCAACTAAAACCTGACCTCCTTGAACTTCAGGCCTCGAAATTAACTCAACCTTTAAACCATGCTATGTTTAGTCAGTGATCTTCCCAAGGTCTTGATTTAATTATCCCGTTTACATTGCGACCTCCCGGGGGTATGGGGAGACCCCTTTTTATGGGTAGCTAATTTATTTCAAGCATCTACACTTTCAATGTGTTATCTATTCCAATCCCGACTTTTTAGCTATCAGGGTAACGTAGTTCGTCTATTAGATGTCAAATTGAGCCAGAAAGTCACCTACGGGGAGCCAACTAAATTCTCTGTCCATTCATACTATTTAAGAGACTAAATTCTTATGCCGCGGTCCTACTACTATCAATTTCCTCTGGGACTACTTTTCTTAAGTCTAGTTGAATTGCTATTGATTGATCATTCGCCAAGCTAAGCTGAAGCCAATGCTTACCAATTCCACTTCGAATTAGCCCTACTACTCCAATGTTGCAATGCAAAAGCTATATCGCCATCAGCTTCTGCTTCAGTTCGCAACATATCAGTTTCCTCGCAATTATTGGTAAGGTGACCGGTTCATATCTCCAGTGGTTGGGCTGGTGAATACGCCACTTTCGGGCGGTAATCTCGGGGTTTTCTATGCAACTTTGCAGTCAAAACGCCAAAAGGTCAACTTAAGGTCACCCGGGGGTCAAACTTCCTTATTTGGGTTCAGAAGCCTATGGGGGGCCTAACTACCAAGTTCCATCCATATCCCATTATTACTTCTTAAGTTATCCCATTTCTAAGGTCCATTATTAGTTTTCCCTGGAATTGGCTATTAACAGCGGAAGGAGCCGCCGGAGGGGGTTGGCTCACCAAGGGTCTTTTTTGGGGTTCGTATCTTGTGTCTATTGCCGCAAGAAAATCAGTATGCCATCGCTCATTAATTTGTGTAACTTGCCTATTTCCGGTCGTAGGGGGTGTTTGTTTAAGTGCTAATAGCTTCCGAACCGACCGTTTGAAATGAATCAAATTATCACACAAGATGTATCTTGCCACTACCTATCATCCCTCCAAGTTTCAGCTCCCTGCGTTCATTGGAGGCCGAGAGGCGACTTCCGCAAGTTAGGGGTGGGTTTGTTTAGTTAGGGCATAAAACCGGAAGTGGGCGTCCTAGGGGTCTGGATTTATAAACTTAAGCTTCCCTCAACTGGACATACAACATACTTAAATTTGCCGCTAGTTTCCGAGTTCTGATATGGCCATATACACTCCCGGGAACCGTTATCACTTGCCCCCAAGGGTATGAGAGGTCCCGTTTTTCGTATGCCTGGGTCAAATCATCTCTAGTACCGCTCCTCTGAAATTCATAACACTAGCTTCCTTAGTTCCTATTAGGGGGGGATTCGCCGATTTTGTCATTTTTTTTTACAAAGGAGGGACGATATCTTCGATGATTGAGCTATTTTGAGCTTGACCATTTGTTTGCTGTACTACTTAATTAATGACTAATCGATTTTACGCTCAGCTTAATCCAAAGGTTATACATTCTAAGTTCATTTCTTGTTTTGCCGAAAGTGTATTAGGATCATCAATACTACACTAATGAACAATCGATAGTTTTTTTAACGAGAAAAGCTGATTATCAGAAGTAATATACCTAATTGGAGGGCTTGTATCTGCGAAATTACTGAAGTGAAACGCGGCGAGGAAAATTAAAATTCATGCAGTGGAATGTGCTAACCTTTTTTCATTAAGGACACGCCTATATTTGCGGGAGCCGGCAGTGGTGGATTTAGGGAGGAGTGCGGACGTCCCCTCTCAGGGATTCGACCCCTTGCCGACCCAAAGTGTCCCCCTTTGTACTATTTTGAGATATCCATTTTTTGTGACAAACCCTAAAAATTTTTTTAAGGCGCCTCGGGCGCCCATATATACTAATTTTGAGGGAGAGCGCGCGCCGAAAAGCGCTACTTTTTGGTCAAAATTTTCCAAAAAGTGCTTAAAAACGCCTTTTTCAGTGCCCAAAATCGCCCTGTTTTTTCAAAGTTTTGCCTGCGGCGCAGAAAACAGGCTCTTTTTAGTATTTTAGGAGAGCTTGGAAAACCAATTTGGTCGACCTAAAAAAAAGGTCGATAAAATTTTCCACATTTTTTTGAAAATCCGCCCCTCGAGAAAATTCTAGTTCCGCCCCTGGGAGCCGGTACAATTTGCATTAGCCGGTACGATAGAGTCCCCGCTAAAAACCAAGTGTGTGAGAGTGGTCTCATAACACAAAAATTGGTACTACTATGATAGAGTAGTCCCTTGAAAAAGCAACTATGATAGACAGGTCCCGCATGCATTTCGCATTATAATTTTGAGAACTAATTTGTGTATAAATTATTCATTTCAAAAATTTTGCAAATTATGTTCAGTCAGAAACTTTTCAGATTGAAAATTGTTATTAATTCATTGTCTATATCAAGAAATTTGCTCGCTTCTGTTTATTTTTCAGTTTAACATAATTGGGTTACCTTATTTGTCATCAAAACTCAATTTTGGCGTTTTTTTTTAAATTTTCCTCCTTAAAATGGCGAGCGGGTAAATTTTAAGCGGTAACAAAACATATAATTTGAAAATATTACCCAGACTCATGTCCAGACTTTCGCGACAAAATTTTGGCATGTCGTCCAGACAAATACGGAAGAATACGAGCAATTTAATTGCGGTGAAAAAACTGGTGGAAAAAAGCTTAGTGTAATCATGTATGATTACTTTCCGAATACTGCCATGAAGTAAAAATAAGAATTGGAATTCTATAAAGTTGGAGATGCGGGGCATCGATCCCCGTACCTCGCGCATGCTAAGCGCGCGCTCTACCATTTGAGCCACATCCCCTTGGAAGAACGTCATGGTGTTACTAATAAATATTGTTACAGTTGCTCAATCACTTAAGAGTAATACCAGAACGCAACGTTATCGAACGACCAAACATTACTAACGTTGAGGCAAATGTGATCAAATCTTTGAAAATTGGTGCCAGGTAAATAAAACGACAAGACAGTAAAGACGACAAATGATAGTTAAATATAAACATCAAACTTGAGTTGTTGGAATTTAAAAGATTGTCTCAGAAAGACAAAAATACAATTTGAGAATTTTTAAGAATTTTGTTGCGTCATTTCTAAGTCCCACCCACCGGTACTACTATGATCTATGATCTGGGACCTTGCCAAAAGGTACCAGTATCTCTTAACTTTGGTACCGCACGATGCTAGTACATTTACTAGTACCGGTACCATGCCAACTCTAATGTTGAGTCAGAAACTTCTCGGATTAAAAATTGGGGTCTTATGCGTTAAACGGCCCAAAAATCAAAATCTTCAACGTATTTACAGTTTAACAACCATATTTGGGTTAACTTACTTGTCATTAAAACTCAATTTTTGCGTTTTGGCGTTTTTTTTATATTCCACCTGTAAATGGTGAGAGGTTTTACGAAGTAACAAAACATAAAGTTTGTTTGAAAATATTCTGCGACATCTTTGTAAATGGCGAAACCATAATTGTGAAACGATTTGAGAGCTCTAGGTGTCTTATTCTCAAAGGGTGCCGGACATCAAGCCGACGGGACTTGAAGCCGAATCGTATAAATAGGGACTTCAAGCCGAACATTTTGTCCAAAAGTTATAAATTATGATTAATTTGAAAACTGTGATCAAGTTAACATCCCCCCCCCCCAAATTAGACCAAGTTAAGATCCTCCACCCCAGCGCTAAATTTAAATTAAATTTATTAAGCGCTGCAGGTAAAATGCTCGATTATGATTGGCTGAAAATTCCCAACTTAGAACCAATTTAACATCCTCCCACCTAAACGTGTTTAGGGGGGAGGATGTTAACTTGGTCCGAAAACTGTTTTGAAGAATTTCTCAATTTCATCAGCTTGCTTAACAAGTTACTGGCTTATTTAATTATTTTTGAGCCTCTCATTGATGTTTAGGAATATGAAAAAATCAAAACATTGTTGATGGGGTTTTTCATGTGTATAATTTATGCATTAGAAAATCCGGGTGATCTAACCATCTGATGCCACTAACTATCTGATTAAGTGGTGCATTGTCATGAAGAACGCTTATGATGAACTAAACTTGCCTATTTTTTTTTTTCAAAATAAATTTTTTAATGATAAAAATTTAGCGTTTTCAGGTGCTTGTAATGTTTAAATTTCGGCTTGAAGTCCCCTTAGCTTGAAGTCCCGTCGGCTTGTTGTTCTAGACCCATTTGTTATGAAACTTGAATTTGTTTGAAAATATTCTACGACAACTTTCTGAAAGGCGAACTTATAACTCTTAAAGGATTTGAGAACTCAAAGTGGTGACCGCTCGACTAGCCTAAAGCTCGGGTCTTTTTACTTATTCTGCCCAAAAATCAACATTTCATATCTTGAACTGAAACTATTTTGCTTCAATTTGATTGGCCACAATTAAAACGATCGCATTTGTATTAACAAAACGAATCAGTGCAATCAGTGTTTTGCTCTTTGCATTTATACATTGACTGCTACAAAATTGCGTAATTTGGAAATTCTGGCGGAATAAGTAAAAAGACCCTAAAGCTCGACTAGCATAAAAGTTTGAAAACATGAAAATGTATCGAATAGCATAAAGTTGATAGCTTTATTTCTCAGACATACAAATCAACAATCATAATCTGTTCAAATTGAACTTAATTTGCATTTCTGAGAAAAAGAAAATTGAGCAAATGAGAAATTAAGCAATCAACTTGCAAATTAAATGGATCAACTTAACAATCATACGGCCACCCCTCCCCATAACATAAAACCATCCCCACCCGAACAATTCCTACCCAAAAAAGGGTTTGAACTTTGAATAAAGCTTATTTAATGTATTTTTTATAGGGGCGGATTAAAAAACGTCTTGGGGGGTAGGATGTTAACTTGGTCAAATTTAATTATAGAGTTCGTTCGAAAAGCATATTTTATACAGAAATAATTTTCAAAATTACTATTTGGCTAAGAGGGATATTTTACGGTACGTCACTTGGGGAGGGATGGGGGTGGCTGGGTTTAAAACTATCGGATCAACCGTACAATTTCCCCCTAAGTGACCTACCGTAGAATTATCTCCCCAAGCATGTTTTAATTCTGAAATTTAATTCCGCGTAAAATATTCATTTCAAACAGGCGCGCAGAATATACGACATGAGAAAACTTTTTATATGGAACAGCTATTTTATACTGTTATTTACTTAAAATATTAATCATTATTTTATTTTGTATCGATAAACTTTTTTGATCAATAAGATCAATTTATTTTGCCCTGAAAGTTAATATCTGAGAAAGATTTAGGGGGGAAATTGTACTGTTGATCCAAACTATCATACGCTTGGGTTGGGAATGTTTAAAACAAGGCAAAAAAGCATGTTTTAAAACCGAAAAGAAAAACTTTTTTATTTTAAAACTTTTAAAAATTAGCATTGTCTGGGAGTCGAACCGCTGCGATAGGGGTATGAGCCGCCGTCCTGTATTGTGCCGGCTCGATCTCTACAATGCTGCACCGGATCATCTTAACAATTTTGAAGCAAAAAGAAGAGATGATTATCTGACTCCCGTTTTTCTTGCCGCATATCTATTAGATCATCGGTATGAGGGCAGAAAGTTACTGAACAAACTGTAAAAAAAAACAATAAAATAACATGATTTTTTCAATAAAAAACATTTTTTTTTCCAACCCTGTGCTTAACCGTTGATTTATTTCTTTACAGGGGGTTATTCGTTACTAGGTACCCGAGTGATGATATATTTAAAGAGATCCTGGAATTTTATGGTTGATCCAAATTATGTGTATAATGGCTTAGCTTTGCTGGTATTTGTTTCACTTGCGAGAGCAAGGGACTTGTTTGATTTTTCTGTTTGGATTTTTATGCTAGTCGATACATTTTTCAATTTTGAAACTTTTATGCTAGTCGAGCTTAATGCTAGTCGATACACCGCCCTCTTATTGTCTTGTCTTATTCTCAAGGGAGCTGGTTCATTGGAGGCCGAGAGGCGACTTCCGCAAGTTAGGGGTGGGTTTGTTTAGTTAGGGCATAAAACCGGAAGTGGGCGTCCTAGGGGTCTGGATTTATAAACTTAAGCTTCCCTCAACTGGACATACAACATACTTAAATTTGCCGCTAGTTTCCGAGTTCTGATATGGCCATATACACTCCCGGGAACCGTTATCACTTGCCCCCAAGGGTATGAGAGGTCCCGTTTTTCGTATGCCTGGGTCAAATCATCTCTAGTACCGCTCCTCTGAAATTCATAACACTAGCTTCCTTAGTTCCTATTAGGGGGGGATTCGCCGATTTTGTCATTTTTTTTTACAAAGGAGGGACGATATCTTCGATGATTGAGCTATTTTGAGCTTGACCATTTGTTTGCTGTACTACTTAATTAATGACTAATCGATTTTACGCTCAGCTTAATCCAAAGGTTATACATTCTAAGTTCATTTCTTGTTTTGCCGAAAGTGTATTAGGATCATCAATACTACACTAATGAACAATCGATAGATTTTTTAACGAGAAAAGCTGATTATCAGAAGTAATATACCTAATTGGAGGGCTTGTATCTGCGAAATTACTGAAGTGAAACGCGGCGAGGAAAATTAAAATTCATGCAGTGGAATGTGCTAACCTTTTTTCATTAAGGACACGCCTATATTTGCGGGAGCCGGCAGTGGTGGATTTAGGGAGGAGTGCGGACGTCCCCTCTCAGGGATTCGACCCCTTGCCGACCCAAAGTGTCCCCCTTTGTACTATTTTGAGATATCCATTTTTTGTGACAAACCCTAAAAATTTTTTTAAGGCGCCTCGGGCGCCCATATATACTAATTTTGAGGGAGAGCGCGCGCCGAAAAGCGCTACTTTTTGGTCAAAATTTTCCAAAAAGTGCTTAAAAACGCCTTTTTCAGTGCCCAAAATCGCCCTGTTTTTTCAAAGTTTTGCCTGCGGCGCAGAAAACAGGCTCTTTTTAGTATTTTAGGAGAGCTTGGAAAACCAATTTGGTCGACCTAAAAAAAAAGGTCGATAAAATTTTCCACATTTTTTTGAAAATCCGCCCCTCGAGAAAATTCTAGTTCCGCCCCTGGGAGCCGGTACAATTTGCATTAGCCGGTACGATAGGGTCCCCGCTAAAAACCAAGTGTGTGAGAGTGGTCTCATAACACAAAAATTGGTACTACTATGATAGAGTAGTCCCTTGAAAAAGCAACTATGATAGACAGGTCCCGCATGCATTTCGCATTATAATTTTGAGAACTAATTTGTGTATAAATTATTCATTTCAAAAATTTTGCAAATTCTGTTCAGTCAGAAACTTTTCAGATTGAAAATTGTTATTAATTCATTGTCTATATCAAGAAATTTGCTCGCTTCTGTTTATTTTTCAGTTTAACATAATTGGGTTACCTTATTTGTCATCAAAACTCAATTTTGGCGTTTTTTTTCTTAAATTTTCCTCCTTAAAATGGCGAGCGGGTAAATTTTAAGCGGTAACAAAACATATAATTTGAAAATATTACCCAGACTCATGTCCAGACTTTCGCGACAAAATTTTGGCATGTCGTCCAGACAAATACGGAAGAATACGAGCAATTTAATTGCGGTGAAAAAACTGGTGGAAAAAAGCTTAGTGTAATCATGTATGATTACTTTCCGAATACTGCCATGAAGTAAAAATAAGAATTGGAATTCTATAAAGTTGGAGATGCGGGGCATCGATCCCCGTACCTCGCGCATGCTAAGCGCGCGCTCTACCATTTGAGCTACATCCCCTTGGAAGAACGTCATGGTGTTACTAATAAATATTGTTACAGTTGCTCAATCACTTAAGAGTAATACCAGAACGCAACGTTATCGAACGACCAAACATTACTAACGTTGAGGCAAATGTGATCAAATCTTTGAAAATTGGTGCCAGGTAAATAAAACGACAAGACAGTAAAGACGACAAATGATAGTTAAATATAAACATCAAACTTGAGTTGTTGGAATTTAAAAGATTGTCTCAGAAAGACAAAAATACAATTTGAGAATTTTTAAGAATTTTGTTGCGTCATTTCTAAGTCCCACCCACCGGAACTACTATGATCTATGATCTGGGACCTTGCCAAAAGGTACCAGTATCTCTTAACTTTGGTACCGCACGATGCTAGTACATTTACTAGTACCGGTACCATGCCAACTCTAATGTTGAGTCAGAAACTTCTCGGATTAAAAATTGGGGTCTTATGCGTTAAACGGCCCAAAAATCAAAATCTTCAACGTATTTACAGTTTAACAACCATATTTGGGTTAACTTACTTGTCATTAAAACTCAATTTTTGCGTTTTGGCGTTTTTTTTATATTCCACCTGTAAATGGTGAGAGGTTTTACGAAGTAACAAAACATAAAGTTTGTTTGAAAATATTCTGCGACATCTTTGTAAATGGCGAAACCATAATTGTGAAACGATTTGAGAGCTCTAGGTGTCTTATTCTCAAAGGGTGCCGGACATCAAGCCGACGGGACTTGAAGCCGAATCGTATAAATAGGGACTTCAAGCCGAACATTTTGTCCAAAAGTTATAAATTATGATTAATTTGAAAACTGTGATCAAGTTAACATCCCCCCCCCCCCAAATTAGACCAAGTTAAGATCCTCCACCCCAGCGCTAAATTTAAATTAAATTTATTAAGCGCTGCAGGTAAAATGCTCGATTATGATTGGCTGAAAATTCCCAACTTAGAACCAATTTAACATCCTCCCACCTAAACGTGTTTAGGGGGGAGGATGTTAACTTGGTCCGAAAACTGTTTTGAAGAATTTCTCAATTTCATCAGCTTGCTTAACAAGTTACTGGCTTATTTAATTATTTTTGAGCCTCTCATTGATGTTTAGGAATATGAAAAAATCAAAACATTGTTGATGGGGTTTTTCATGTGTATAATTTATGCATTAGAAAATCCGGGTGATCTAACCATCTGATGCCACTAACTATCTGATTAAGTGGTGCATTGTCATGAAGAACGCTTATGATGAACTAAACTTGCCTATTCTTTTTTTATAAATAAATTTTTTAATGATAAAAATTTAGCGTTTTCAGGTGCTTGTAATGTTTAAATTTCGGCTTGAAGTCCCCTTAGCTTGAAGTCCCGTCGGCTTGTTGTTCTAGACCCATTTGTTATGAAACTTGAATTTGTTTGAAAATATTCTACGACAACTTTCTGAAAGGCGAACTTATAACTCTTAAAGGATTTGAGAACTCAAAGTGGTGACCGCTCGACTAGCCTAAAGCTCGGGTCTTTTTACTTATTCTGCCCAAAAATCAACATTTCATATCTTGAACTGAAACTATTTTGCTTCAATTTGATTGGCCACAATTAAAACGATCGCATTTGTATTAACAAAACGAATCAGTGCAATCAGTGTTTTGCTCTTTGCATTTATACATTGACTGCTACAAAATTGCGTAATTTGGAAATTCTGGCGGAATAAGTAAAAAGACCCTAAAGCTCGACTAGCATAAAAGTTTGAAAACATGAAAATGTATCGAATAGCATAAAGTTGATAGCTTTATTTCTCAGACATACAAATCAACAATCATAATCTGTTCAAATTGAACTTAATTTGCATTTCTGAGAAAAAGAAAATTGAGCAAATGAGAAATTAAGCAATCAACTTGCAAATTAAATGGATCAACTTAACAATCATACGGCCACCCCTCCCCATAACATAAAACCATCCCCACCCGAACAATTCCTACCCAAAAAAGGGTTTGAACTTTGAATAAAGCTTATTTAATGTATTTTTTATAGGGGCGGATTAAAAAACGTCTTGGGGGGTAGGATGTTAACTTGGTCAAATTTAATTATAGAGTTCGTTCGAAAAGCATATTTTATACAGAAATAATTTTCAAAATTACTATTTGGCTAAGAGGGATATTTTACGGTACGTCACTTGGGGAGGGATGGGGGTGGCTGGGTTTAAAACTATCGGATCAACCGTACAATTTCCCCCTAAGTGACCTACCGTAGAATTATCTCCCCAAGCATGTTTTAATTCTGAAATTTAATTCCGCGTAAAATATTCATTTCAAACAGGCGCGCAGAATATACGACATGAGAAAACTTTTTATATGGAACAGCTATTTTATACTGTTATTTACTTAAAATATTAATCATTATTTTATTTTGTATCGATAAACTTTTTTGATCAATAAGATCAATTTATTTTGCCCTGAAAGTTAATATCTGAGAAAGATTTAGGGGGGAAATTGTACTGTTGATCCAAACTATCATACGCTTGGGTTGGGAATGTTTAAAACAAGGCAAAAAAGCATGTTTTAAAACCGAAAAGAAAAACTTTTTTATTTTAAAACTTTTAAAAATTAGCATTGTCTGGGAGTCGAACCGCTGCGATAGGGGTATGAGCCGCCGTCCTGTATTGTGCCGGCTCGATCTCTACAATGCTGCACCGGATCATCTTAACAATTTTGAAGCAAAAAGAAGAGATGATTATCTGACTCCCGTTTTTCTTGCCGCATATCTATTAGATCATCGGTATGAGGGCAGAAAGTTACTGAACAAACTGTAAAAAAAAACAATAAAATAACATGATTTTTTCAATAAAAAACATTTTTTTTTCCAACCCTGTGCTTAACCGTTGATTTATTTCTTTACAGGGGGTTATTCGTTACTAGGTACCCGAGTGATGATATATTTAAAGAGATCCTGGAATTTTATGGTTGATCCAAATTATGTGTATAATGGCTTAGCTTTGCTGGTATTTGTTTCACTTGCGAGAGCAAGGGACTTGTTTGATTTTTCTGTTTGGATTTTTATGCTAGTCGATACATTTTTCAATTTTGAAACTTTTATGCTAGTCGAGCTTAATGCTAGTCGATACACCGCCCTCTTATTGTCTTGTCTTATTCTCAAGGGAGCTGGTTCTTTTCAAGGGACCACTATCAAGCCATAAAGAAGCATTCTACGGCTCTCGATCTGTTTTTAAACCCTTTTGTTGGTGCTTTTTTGGACCTCTTTATCTATTCCCCCTTTTTGCCTTAAGTTACTTACTGCCTTCTTCTCCTTCTTAATTTTTTAGAGAGTGTAATTTTTCCTTAAATTACCTTCTCCCCCTTTTTGCCCTAAGTAAATTACCTTAACATTTATTTTGCAAATTAAGAGGGCTATTTTCCACGTAATGCAACAACTCGCATTAAAAAAGACAGCTCGCAATATACTCACCGCCGCAGTCGCGCCAACGTGTTGCAAGCTTTCCAACAGAGGGTAGGACTTTATATGAAGTTTAGAGCCGGTTATCGCCGAAAAGCGGCGACGCGTGGCTTAGTGCGCCCACCGGCGACCTTAAACCGAGAATATAAAGCTTCCAATTAGCTTCAAAAACTTGCAAGTTGTCGCTGTCCTTAAATTTTGCGAGTTGTCCCCCTAACAAAAATTACCTTAACATTATCATAATGCAATGAAACTTGGCATGCTGAACAAAGTAACAATTGTGAACAGATTTGTTCTTCATGCTTTACATCGTAACTTTACGCTTTTAACCACTATTACACATAAAACAACAATAAAAATTGAAAATTTGAAAGGTGGGGGGGGGGGAACTGGAAAAGTGGAAAAGAGCCAAATCGTTACTAGGTATCATAAATAGGAACTAGTTGAAGAATCCTATTTAGCTCCTAGGTATTCCTTGTAAACAAAAAAAAAACATATTTACCTAGACGTCCGGGAGAATTCCTCAGTTCTAAGTCAGTCTTGCTGTTTGTTTTAGATCTTAGCTTGCAAATGTTCAGTCTCCGGTGCCAGCAGTTCCTCAATCCAGACTCTGGACGCAGTTACATCTACTTCTGAGGAGGTGGTAAAAGCGGGCAACAAGGCGCAGATCAGGTACTCTGCCCACTTGGTGGAAAATGGCAAACTGGGAAAATTGTTCGACAGCAATGTGAAGGATAGTGCAAAACCCCTCACTGTAGATCTGTCGGCTAAGAAAACTTCGGTCATCAAGGTAGCATAGTTTAGAATAGCCTGACAGACAACCAATAGTTGCCACGGTTTTTGGCCTTTTTTTTTTCGACTGCTGGTTTGAGTTCTGGTTGCCAATCCTACGGTACTATTTCACGCAGGGGTTTCAAAAATTAATTGGCAAATGATAAACTGAATTTTCAATCTTAAAGCAATTGAATTTGTTTTTAAAAAAATAAAAACCAATAATTGAATTAATTGCGCGTCATAGAACTTCAGGAATGTTTTTCACTTGATCGATGGTGTGTTCATCCCAAAATCGATGATTGAATTTGAGGAAAAGTTGACACTCTAGGTTCATTGACAACAAGTTCTGGAGGTAACCGAAGTAACCATATCCGGCACTGCTAAAGAATCTTTCGACGATGTCGGAATTTGTTAGAATAAATGCAGGGTTCAAGTAGGCGCTGTTTTGACTGTTTTTCACCAGTCGTCGTTTTTTAAGCAATCAGTTGCAAAATCGCTGGTCGCTAATCTCCAAGTCTCTCAAAAGCATTGAGACCTTGGCTGTTTCATCAACGGAAAGTGTATTTTCTTGACCAGATAGAATTTTTCTTAAGCGGACTCAAAGTTTGGTTTATGTACCAAGTGTGATGTAGTGCTCAGATATTTCTCAAACTCGTTTTCTGTGTTATCCTTCATAATCTCATCGAACAATATGCGAGCATCTTGCAGTTCTAAGTTCTCGCTCTGGAGGGCGACCGTAACAGAATGAAGTTTTTCTAGGGAACCTCCCAAAGCTTTCCACGAAGTAATTTGTGCAGAAGGAATATTGTCAACAATTTTAGAATAACTTGGTAGGCTCTCTAGAAACGGAAATAATTCCAAAAACTAGAAATCATGGCCATTTTGCTCAACCATCTAGTTTTTCCCCATTTATAGTCTGTAACTTTGTCAGAGTACGTAATTTAATTTGACCATTTAATCTACTGATTCATTTTGGTTCAATAATGATTAATTCCAAAACAAATCATCGAAAAGAACGAAAGCTTAGATAGTTTAACATAACTAAATGCTATGTCGCAAAACCTAGCTTTTTTGAACTATGGACTTTTACCAGCAGTGTAATACATGCTTTTACTCATGACAACCAGCTACCGACAATCAAACAATTTTAGTTTCTAAGACTCTTTTTTCGATTCTTTTATTCAACTTTTTTCGTGGCATCCATTTTTAGCTAAAAAACGCGACTCTAAAAAACGCGACTCTTTGGTCAAAAACAGTTCCTAAAAACTCTTTTTTTAAGGCCTAAAAACACATTTTAGGCCTGTTTTTCTCAAAAAAAAAATCCACGGCGCAGAAAATTTGGTCTAAATACAAAATATATTTTTTTATTAAATCCGTCCTTCCCCCTCTCTAGAAAATCCAAATACTTCATGTTGTTGGATTTGTGGTTTAAAAATTCAAAACTTTTGTCTCAGTATTGAGAAAAATTGGTCTAATTTTTTCAGTGTCGTTATTGAATTTTTCAAGTGTCGTGTTGATTTTTTGTTACGCCAATTTTGATTTTTTGGTGTTTAAGTTTTGTTTTCTTTTGAAGTTTAATCAAATTCAGTTCAAAGGAAGGTAAAAGGTAAATTTTATCTAGTATAAACCGTTCACAACGCCTAGAGAAACAAAGTTTAAAAAATAGTTTTTTTTTTGAATTTTGTAATTTAGTTTATTGGGCATTCTTAACTTACTGTGTTCGGAACTTTTGGTGCTTATGACACAGCAACTGACTATCCCTGTTGAAAATTAGCCAATGAGAGAAGCAACGCCAGCATCCGAAGACTAAGTGTAGCCTAATTTTGTTATGTTTTCCACGCAAAATCAGGTTCCACAAGTAATCATCGGAATGATTCGAATGATATATTTTATTAAAGACCTTTCAGTCGTAATCGAACAAATTTAAAAAAATCGTTCAAAACTGAATTTTCAATCTTAAAGCAATTGAATTTGTTTTCAAAAAAATAAAAACCAATAATTGAATTAATTGCGCGTCATAGAACTTCAGGAATGTTTTTCACTTGATCGATGGTGTGTTCATCCCAAAATCGATGATTGAATTTGAGGAAAAGTTGACACTCTAGGTTCATTGACAACAAGTTCTGGCGGTAACCGAAGTAACCATATCCGGCACTGCTAAAGAATCTTTCGACGATGTCGGAATTTGTTAGAATAAATGCAGGGTTCAAGTAGGCGCTGTTTTGACTGTTTTTCACCAGTCGTCGTTTTTTAAGCAATCAGTTGCAAAATCGCTGGTCGCTAATCTCCAAGTCTCTCAAAAGCATTGAGACCTTGGCTGTTTCATCAACGGAAAGTGTATTTTCTTGACCAGATAGAATTTTTCTTTCAGCGGACTCAAAATTTGGTTTATGTACCAAGTGTGATGTAGTGCTCAGATATTTCTCAAACTCGTTTTCTGTGTTATCCTTCATAATCTCATCGAACAATATGCGAGCATCTTGCAGTTCTAAGTTCTCGCTCTGGAGGGCGACCGTAACAGAATGAAGTTTTTCTAGGGAACCTCCCAAAGCTTTCCACGAAGTAATTTGTGCAGAAGGAATATTGTCAACAATTTTAGAATAACTTGGTAGGCTCTCTAGAAACGGAAATAATTCCAAAAAACTAGAAATCATGGCCATTTTGCTCAACCATCTAGTTTTTCCCCATTTATAGTCTGTAACTTTGTCAGAGTACGTAATTTAATTTGACCATTTAATCTACTGATTCATTTTGGTTCAATAATGATTAATTCCAAAACAAATTATCGAAAAGACCGAAAGCTTAGATAGTTTAACATAACTAAATGCTATGTCGCAAAACCTAGCTTTTTTGAACTATGGACTTTTACCAGCAGTGTAATACATGCTTTTACTCATGACAACCAGCTACCGACAATCAAACAATTTTAGTATCTAAGACTCTTTTTTCGATTCTTTTATTCAACTTTGAATGTGAAGCTTTGCCGACCGATTTATTCCGAAAGTTCCTTGCCAATAATTATAATTGAATGAATTCTCTAAAACCAATTATTGTATTAATTGAACTTTGAAAAACTAGGTTTTTACCCAATTAATTGCAAATAATTTTCACTCAATTAATTTTTGAACACCCTGATTTCACGACAATCATTATTGGTCCAAGAGGACCAAATTACCAATTCAGTTAACCACCAAATTTTGTAACAAACAGTAGCGGTTGGGGGTGGGCGTACGCCCTCTTCCCAAGGATTCGACCCAAAAGGTTCCCCTTTGTACTTTTTCGTGGCATCCATTTTTAGCTAAAAAACGCGACTCTAAAAAACGCGACTCTTTGGTCAAAAACAGTTCCTGAAAACCCTTTTTTTAAGGCCTAAAAACACATTTTTGGCCTGTTTTTCTCAAAAAAAAATCCACGGCGCAGAAAATTTTGTCTAAATACAAAATATATTTTTTTATTAAGTCCGTCCTTCCCCCTCTATAGAAAATCCAAATACTTCATGTTGTTGGATTTGTGGTTTAAAAATTCAAAACTTTTGTCTCAGTATTGAGAAAAATTGGTCTAATTTTTTCAGTGTCGTTATTGAATTTTTCAAGTGTCGTGTTGATTTTTTGTTACGCCAATTTTGATTTTTTGGTGTTTAAGTTTTGTTTTCTTTTGAAGTTTAATCAAATTCAGTTCAAAGGAAGGTAAAAGGTAAATATTATCTAGTATAAACCGTTCACAACGCCTAGAGAAACAAAGTTTAAAAAATAGTTTTTTTTTGAATTTTATAATTTAGTTTATTGGGCATTCTTAACTTACTGTGTTCGGAACTTTTGGTGCTTATGACACAGCAACTGACTATCCTTGTTGAAAATTAGCCAATGAGAGAAGCAACGCCAGCATCCGAAGACTAAGTGTAGCCTAATTTTGTTATGTTTTCCACGCAAAATCAGGTTCCACAAGTAATCATCGGAATGATTCGAATGATATATTTTATTAAAGACCTTTCAGTCGTAATCGAACAAATTTAAAAAAATCGTTCAAAACGGAATCCCAAACAACTAGCTATATTTGCTCGTTCCGGAATCCGCGACAAATCTAATGTGACAAAATTACGTTACAGATATTTGTGCGTAGAATCCACGGAAATTCTTTAAGTAGAATCCACTTACATTTTGGAACATAATCAACGACTTCTCTCTGAATTCCAATGACCTATAGACACTAAATGTAACGCTGTAATGTAACGCTACGAATAAAACAGTTAAAATTTGAGAAATCGTTTTCTTAAAGGTTTCCTGTTGTTGTGATTGGAACTTTCTTTTTTACTACTAGCTATCATTGTTCAAAACGCAATCGCTTTTGTTCATAACCGCATCTAAACTGAGAAAGCGTTTTGAACAAAGACAACCGGTTGTATTACAGAAAGTTCCAACCACAAGATCAAAAAACCTTTAAGAAACGTTTTCTCAAATTATGTTGTTTTTATTCGTGGCGTAACATTACAACGCCAAGCAATTTTGAATTTTGTTGTGTCAAAAGCTTACTACAGGAATTTTTTAGCGAAGTATGAAAGGCTTTTTTGGATATTTTTCTCAACAAAATCTCGGTCAGGCACCGTTGAACAAGTTTAAAGTCTATTTCATTTTTTTTCTGTTTTAAGTCAGAGAATAGAAGATTATGAATCATACAACTGCGTACTTTTTTGTACTTTACGGTCAGGTTATCTTAAATATTTTTGTCTAGATGTTTCTCGGATTTTTCATTTTGTTTGTTTCAGGGGATCAAAGAAGGCGTGGTGGGTATGCGAAAGATGTCCACTAGAGTGGTGTTCATTCCTCCCAAGTTGGGTTACGCTGAGACCGGGGTAAAAGGCAGAGTACCTGCTAACGCCTTCCTTATCTACGAAATACAAGTTGTCGATGTAAGTAGAATAAGTCCTCTCCTTAATTATACGTTTTGAGTGATCAACGTTTTTTGGTGCTAAATTTTATGAGAAAAAACTTGGTTATTCAGCAGTGGCGTGCGAATCTAAGGCGTTTCTTGGGGGGGGGGGGGGGTTTGAAAAAATTTTGAAATTTTTCAGCGACCTTTTTTTAGGTCGACCAATTTGATTTTCTGAGCTCGAGTAACTTTCTGCGTCAATGGCAAATTTTTAAAAAAACAGGCCACAGAAGGCGTTTTAAGACATTTTTTGGAAAATTTTGACCAAAAAATTGCGGAGGGGTTGTGCTCGGTCGGCTCGCTACTGTTATTCAGAATTATATAAGTTTAAGAGTAGGTTTTAAAAATATTATCCTGAACAGAGTTGTGAGCATTATTTTTTAGCTTTTAAAAAGCATCTTCGATTTGAGTTATTGTTGACAGATTCTCGACGATTCTTCCAATTCCAAGAAGCGTTCATCTGAGTCATCCAAGAAGGGTCGAGCTCCTTTGCCGAAGCTCCCGGTCACCCACGAGGACAACGAAGAAGAGGAACAGGTGTCCTCGGGCGACGAAGATGAAGACGACGAAGAAGATGAAGATGAAAGCGGGGAGGGAAGTTCAACCACGACTACGAACGAGGATTCCAAGTCCAATGCAGTTACGAGAGCCAAACTGATCGAGAAAACGGCACGACTAGGGCAAGCTATTCTGCCTACTTCGTCGTCGTCTAGTAAAGTTGGGAAATCGAATAGCGTTAGATCCACGAATGGCAGACGATCTAATCCCAATTACTACAATGAGTCAATATCCAATCAAAGAGTAAGTAGATTTAATTTGCATAGCTTCAATATTGAGTGGTAGATTTGAACAGCAATTGGGTGGTTGGTCATAGAACTTAAATTATTGTTGTAGATTTTATAATATTTCATAGAAGTTTTAATTCTGTTGTGAGAAGAAGGTCAATTCTGTTCAGTTAGCGTGAACATATTCAATCCATTCCAAGTTGCTTATTTATTTAGGAGCAACTGGCTGCATCTGAGATGGCTCTACCTGGTGCTATGATGAGCAATCCAGGTTGGTTAACACATCTATTGTTAAGGGAAGAGGGTTCTTCATGCTTTAAGACATTTGATTTTTGATTGGCTGGTGTTAAAATGTATCAACCTTTCAAAAGTCGTTTCAACTTCAACTTCAAAATCTTTCCGGGAAAATGAGATGAAAAATAACCCATTGTATATTTTAATAGTTTTGTTCCGACCATTGAAAATGGGGGGGGGACTTTGTATTCGTGCATGTTTTAGTTTTTTATTTTCCACGCAAAATCAGGTACCTCAAAAAATCATCAGAACGGGTTGAATGATATATCATCTTGAAACCCGACATCAAAAAACTTCCCAAAATTTGTACCCAGTGTTGAGGAAAACCCGCTTAAAACTTTTGAGTTTACGTCTAATTTCGAGCGAGTTAAGCGATTAAAAAACGGTCGTGTTATGAAAATTAGTAATTTAACTAAGAAATTTTGTTTTACTGAAATAAAAGTTGGTTTCGGAAGCTTTACTCAATGCTTTCTTGACAAGAAAAATTTTATAATTATTGTGCAAAAAAAAAAGTTGTACGTTTTTGTTTTGTAATTTTTTCATTTTATAAGGCAAAATCTATTGTCGTTTTTGCCTTATTCACTAACTCTATAAGCATTTTTGCTAGTTTTGTACGCTGCTATATAGGTCCTGGTGATTTATTCCGTTATTCTCCAGAAAATGTCCTGAAATTTGTTCACACTCACTGATTTTTTCGCGGTTTGATTTTTGATTTCTGTCTAAGTTCAGTTCATTTCCTTCGTTAAAAGAAATGCAACTTCACCATCGAACAGCACAAATGAAAAAGGTCAGGAAAAAAGTGATCGACTTATAATTTTGAAAATGGATTTTAATTATCAAGTTTCCTAGCGAAATAAAATGTATGTATTGATCCAATTTTCCCGAATTGGGTTAGTTTTATTAAAAACGTGTCGATAATAAAATATTCTAAAATTTCAAAGCGCATTAAGGTTATCTATTTTTTTCTTACTAATTCGAAAATTGAGATTTTTTTCAAAAACCAATTCGGGTGTTTTTTATCATTGTATGTGCGTTCATTGACTCTTTTCCAACTGTCTGTTGGCTATGTTTTGTGAATTTGGTTGGAACATTCTTTGCTAGTTGCACAGCAACCAGCTGTCCTTGTTGTTACTTGAAAACAATTATAGTGTTTCAAAACTAAGTTTGGGTCGATTTAATGAAAGATCTCAAGAGCTCAAAATTCGGTGTCTTACAAAACTCTGAAACGTTTCAACTTTTTGTTGTCAAACGATTTGTTACCCCTCGACCTTAACGAATATTCTTACAAGCAAAAGAAAGACTTTTTCGTCAAACTTAAAAAAATATACTTGAATGACAATCGATTGCTTGTTGACATGCTTATTGGATGATTATATGTGGTATCCAAGGGTGCAACTCTAATAGCTCTGTTTTTGCCTTCACTTTTTACCTAGGTTTCCCTCGGGTTACTGCCACTTGGGCTGTACTGCCCGTACAGTAACCCTGGTGCAGTTTGTTAGTTCATTAATGTTCTCTAAACTGCATCTAAATTCGAAATTCAAGATCTCTGGAGTACTTGATTGTTGAAAGTTTGGCAACTCAATTCAAAAGCTAAAAGAAACACTTTCTGTCGTTTTTCAGCTATGAGTAATGCCACCAGCAATCAGTTAGCTCTTTACAACCCAAGCATGAATGCACAAACATCACAAGCTCCGATGTTTTCGCCATACAATGCTCCTAATCCATATCAACCGCAACATGCTATGATGCAGCAGCCGCCGATCTACACACAGAACCCGCACGCTCCTATGATGCAACATAACCACCCCTTTGGTGCTACTATCACAACAAGCATGGCCGCTCAGCCTGCTTCGTCCTCAATAGACCAGACGACAGCTAATAACATGCAAATGGTTATGCTCGAATCAAAACAGGTCAGGTTAAGTGAACATCTCGCAAATTTATTCGTGTAGTTTTAGACGGCATGCGTCAATTATTAGCAAATGAGATATATCTTTTCAGTCGGTACAAGTGTGATAGAGGGGTCCCGAATCGCATTATTTTAAGCTAAAACAGCAATCATTGTGCGCCGGTCGTGGCTCTTTTCCAGCCCCCCCCCCCCTTGATTTTTTCTGAAATTCATTATATGACAGTCAATTTAAAATTACTTTTCTTGGTATGAATTGCATCAAAACGTGTCAGCGTGAATAGATTAACAAGTTTTTACAACATCTCTTACATCAAAAAAGCCGTGTGAATAAATTTTGAACAGCTTTGTTTTGTAATTTTACGAGGGGGGTGAAAAACTGGAAAAGAGCCCCGACCGTTCGTTTCAAAACTTTCTGCCTCATTTGTGGATACTTTTGCGATACTTTTATTGTCATCATCGAAGCCACTAAATTGAACAACTTTGAGGCACTCTTTTTACATTAAGGACCCGATTAGTTTCTTGGGACCCCTCTATCACACTTGTACTCCTCCGGCAGTGAATCAAGTAAACAATGGACCCAAAAAATCAAAAATCAGCCAAGCTTGACAATTGCTGCCTGATATGGAATAAGGGGATGTAGCTCAAATGGTAGAGCGCGCGCTTAGCATGCGCGAAGTACGGGGATGGATGCCCCGCATCTCCAAATGCCTGGACTTTATCTCCAAACATTACATTTTATTTTAATTTTGAAGTTTTTGTCATCAAAGTGTCTGGATTCGGAAATTCATTAGCAGAAATTTGCTCTTTTCCTCCCCCACCCCCTACCTCACATAAGCATCAGTTTTATGGTGTACGAGAGGTTTTACAAGGTTGCAGTGTTTTTCGTGGCCTAATTAGTCTGCATACCAATTTTTGTAATGATCAGACATTGTGAACATAATATTTACAAGACAAAACTCGCAGGCGGGGGGATGGGGAAGGAAAAGAGCCCAGAAAATTTTATGAGACCTAATTTAAAATAAATTGGTGTAAAAATTTTGTAGGAAAATTTAACCGTTTGGAGATGCGGGGCATCGATCCCCGTACCTCGCGCATGCTAAGCGCGCGCTCTACCATTTGAGCTACATCCCCTTGTTCAATTGAAAGCAACAATTTGAAAATAATTAGACAAAGTGGTTCGACTAACTCTTACTCATTTATCAAAGAAATAGGAGAAAGCCTTTCCATAATGTAACGCAGATAGAACAAGGTAAGTCCCCCATTCTTTTAGGGGGAGAATATTTACTTGGTCTTGAGATCACGAAAGGGAGGTGTGGTGGGTTCAATTATGATTGTTGGGTCCTTAGAAAAATCAAAAATGAAAGATGACTCCCTCCCTTTTTACGAGGGGACCGGAAACAAAATTGGCGAACATGTTGTCAAATGTTTTGATGCTCATTAATTTTTTTGGCGGATACATCATTTTTTGGCTCTTTTCCAGTTCCCCCCCTTTCAAATTCAATACTGAAAAGTCTATTTAACATTGTCATAATGCAATGAAATTTGGCGTGGTGAACAAATCGATATTTCTGAACAGATTTGTTCTTCATACTTTACACTGTAACATCACGCATTTAGCCGTAATAATACGTAAAACAAACATAAAACTCGGTATTTTGAAAGGGGAGGGGAAACTGGAAAAGAGCCCATTTTTTTAAATGATCCATCTATCATACTTGTACCTCATGGTGTTTTTCTGAAACCTCAATTTGGAGACAAAGTGTGTTTGTTTTTTTAGGTTCAGAATGACTTGCGTAGTCAGGTGATGCAGGTGTCCTCCAAGCTAGACCAGGTGCAGCAAAAGGTAGAGGTGCTCGCATCCAGAGACACCCCGTTTGGAACTGGAAACAGCCAAGTGTCTATGGAAGCGGCAGTCCTCATGCAGAACATACACCGAGTGGTGCAGGTATGTTGTATTTTGGAATCAATTGCAAGACCTGGTTTACAAGGGTGTTTACAATGAATTTGGGCTCTTTTTCCTTTTCCCCCCCACCTGCAAATTTTTACTTGCTAATTTGTTGACCACATTGTCCAATTGTTATGAAAATTTACATACAGACTAATAAGGCCACGACAAACATATTTGGTCTTCATACTCAACCTCGTAAAACCACTCGTTACACTAATAAATTGAAGCTCGTGTGAGGTGGGGGGAAAAGGAAAAAGAGCCTGAATTTGGGGCTCTTTTTCCTTCCCCCCCCCACCTGCAAATTTTTATATTTTAAATTACTGTTCACCTTGTCCAATTGTCATGAAAATTGACATGCAGTCTAATTAGGCCATGGCAAAGATATTTGGTCTTTATAATTAACCTTGTAAAACTACTCGTTAGAACATAAAATTCATGTTGGTGTGAGGTGGGGGGGGGGGGGGGGGGAAAGGAAAAAGAGCCGAATTTGGTTTAATCAACTCTGAACCAAAACTGGTCCCTAAAAAACTAGCATGATCAGTAGCGTTTTTTTAGGCGAACACAAATGAGACCTTTTTTAAGGTTGATCAATTTGATATTTCGAGCTCTCCGAAAATACTACAAGGACCTTATTTTGTCAATGCGCCGCAGCCAAATTTTCTAAAAAAAACAGGCCGAAAAAGGCGTTTTCAGGCACGTTTTGGGAAATTTTGACCAACAATTTGCGTTTTTTCGGTGCTCGCTCCCTCCTCAAAATTAGTTATATGGTGTGGAAGGCTCCTTTAGAAAAATTCTGAGGTTGGTCAGCCAAAAATGGATGTGGTAAAGTTATACCAAAGAATTGAGGGGGGAGGAAGCGAAGATTCTTATTTTCGGGAGCCAACTATGATGCTTGAGTACCGGCTTTGTTTCCGTAATTTGGTTCCAAAATTGAAAAAAAAATTGCGTTTTCATCTTAGGTGAGGATATATATAAACTTCTGGTTTCTTGTGAAATCAAATATAATAACTGTGCACACCAGCGGATTTAGGGGGGACGCCCTCCCCCCTCCCTCAGGGATTCGACCCCCTGCCGACCCAAAGGGTCCCCCCTTTGTGCTTTTGATATAGGGACCAGTTTTGAGTTTATGTAAGTGCTATCAATTCTTCTAGATAGACACCAGTTTGAGTTTATGTAAGTGCTATCAATTCTTCTTTCTGTCTGGGGACCTGCTGTCTTGACCTTGCGATCTTTAATGTCCGATGGGATCTGAAATAAAAGAGTGCAGTAAGATTTCGATTTGATGCCTAACAGTTTGCCTATAATAAAACTTATTAACAACCTTTTGAATTTCCAAACTTACGACTTTAACATGGCGCAGCCAGCAGAGAAAAAGGGAGGGGGGAAAAATCCATTAAATGTAGTAGCATTTTGGGAAACACGAACGCCGGAACCTCCAGTATATTGGGAGGAGTGGATAATTAAATTTCACTGGGGGATGATAGCAAAATACGACATTGATCCCGATTATTTCTATTTTGCGAGTACTCTAAATGCGGCGGCTATCACGGCGTTGCCTGAAGAAGTCAATGGAAAAAACCGTATCGATTCGGAAAAGAAGTTAAAGTCTAACTTGTATCTTTGTATCGGAGATGAGGCGCAACGCATATTTAAAGCACGGAAACTGACGGTTAACATTAAAACGGAACGGTACCCACGGGTCCTGGATGAGATGCAAAATGTTTTCCAACGTGAGAGGAATGTAACTCATGAGCGGGGACTATTCTACGGACGAAAACAACGTGAGAACGAAACTTTCGAAAAATTTCATGCGGAGCTAAGTGCCCTAGCAGGAAGATGTGATTTTGCAAACGCGGCCGAAAACGTTCGTGTTATTTTCATTATGAATATGCGGGAATCGGACTGCCAACGAGAATTGTCACGATCAACTAAGTTACCGGAGGAAGTTTACCGGATCGCCTTATCATATGAACGTGGTGAGCGCGCATACAAATCATATACGGGAAAACCAGCTTCATCAGCTCCAGCAATTTCAATAAAACAGGAACCAGTAAATAATATAAGAAGGGGACAAGGATTTTTTCGAGGCCGAGGACGTGCGGGACGTGGAGGATATACCCAAGGATCAATTAGTAGTGGGGGAAGCGGAAATACCCGTAGGTGCTACAATTGCGACGCACCAAACTTTACCCTGGATCACATCGCGAGCTGTCCTGCAAAAGGAGCAACATGTAACTCATGCCGAAAACTGGGACATTTTGAACGAACATGCCGAGGATTTAGAAGGGGTACTAACCAATGGAGAGGACGTGGACGAGTTGGATTGGTCTGGGAGGAAAATGAGCATCATCAAAGTACGCAGAACGTAAACGAATTGAATGAAGACCCAATATCGTGGGTGAATCAGCAGAGGTGTGGGGAAAACGAATCCATGACGTCGGGATCGGATGACTACATGGTAATGTCGATAAAAAGGAAGAAAAATGAGACTGAATTAAAGATCCCTGGGGCCCGCGTTCAAGTGGAGATGTCAGGTAAGAAGATGTGGTTGTGGATAGATAGTGGATCTCCAGTGACTATCTTCAGCATAAACGACCTAAAAACAACGTTAGGAAAAGCAAATATTCAACTACAACCGTCAAAGAAGGAATTTTTGGATTACAACAACAACCGAATAAACATACTAGGGAAGGTAACAGTGATGATGTCGCTAAATGGCTGGGCAGCACCAGCGCGGGTGTCAGTAATATCCGGAAATCATCAATCAATCCTTGGGCGCGACCTGATGGGCACCCTGGGTCTCGAGCTAGTTCAAAGGAAGAAAGTGATGGGAATCACAGGGGAAGGGACCAGTCAAGAGGAGGAGGAATACGACAAATTGCAAACATACTTCTGTAAGTTGTACCCAAATTTATTTACTAGGATAGGGAAGATCCGGAATGCGAAAGTAAGAGCTGAATTTTTTGAAAATTTGACGCCCATACAACAAAAAGGGCGTAGGGTGCCAATCAGTCTACAAGAAAAGGTGGATAAAGAGATTCATCGGCTGATAAATGAAGGACATATCATAAAATTACAAGAGTGCTCAGATAAGTATTTCGTCTCTCCTATCTTCATTACAGTAAAAAAGGACGGAAGCATAAAATTAGCACTAGAATCAAGAGAATTGAATAAACAGGTACACAAAAATAAGTACCAAATGCCGAATATTGACGAATTAATTGACGGAGTAAGTCAGATTATTGCGGAGAAAAAATCGGGGAATGTATACTTTACAACATTGGATTTCACATATGCGTACGGACAAGTCGCATTAGAACAAAAAACAAGCGAGCAATGCAATTTCTCACTAGTCGGCGGAAAATCCACGGGGAGTTATCGTTTTAAAAACGGATTTTACGGACTTACGTCAATGCCGGCGGAATTCCAGAAGGTAATAGATAATTTACTTAAGGAGTTCCCCCAGGCTAACGCGTTTATTGATGATATCTTAATTGCTTCAAAAGGAACTAAAATCGAACACATTGCGTTAGTGGAAAAGATATTGAAAAAGCTGGACGTCTCCAATGGCGCGTTAAAATTGCGAAAATGCGAATTTGCGAAAACTGAGTGCGAATGGCTTGGATTTCGAATTGGGGAAAGTGGTATAACGCCCTTAGTAAGAAAAACACAAGCTGTAGAAGACTTGAAAACCCCAAAATCTCGAAAGCAGTTGAAATCCTTGATGGGTTCGTTACATAGCTTACACAAATTTTACCCAAACTTGACGAGTTAAGCGCACCGTTAAGGCCACTACTGAGCCAAAATAATGATTTTGTCTGGACACCCGTGTGCGAAAATGCGTTCCAACAATTAAAATCGCTTGTGAAAAATATCGTCGAATTACGACATTTCGACATTCACCGTGAAACTAGAATCATTTGTGACGCTAGCCATATGGCCTAGGAGCCGTTTTAGAACAGTATGGCGCATCCGGATGGCATCCGATTTCGTTTGCATCTCGTTACCTTAATCCGGCTGAGAAAAAATACTCCACAAACGAATTGGAATTACTCGCGGTAGTGTGGGCCACGGAACATTTTCGGAATTATATATACGGTCGGTATTTCACAGTGATATCTGATCATAAAGCGCTACTTACATTGTTGAATTCGTCACCAAAAGGAAATAAAACATTTTTCAGTCGCTTAACTCGTTGGTATGATCGCCTGGTGCCATACGACTTTAAGGTTGAACATCGACAAGGGTCAAAAATGGGGATGGCTGACTATCTGTCTCGGTTTCCGTCCGCAGAGGCACCCGAGACAAGCCATTACGATGAAAATTTTACAGTAGCAAAGATAAGAATGATAAACGCGGCGTTGAAGCCCAAGGATAAAATGAAGCCTAGGGGTCAAGAAGTGAACAACATTCAGCGAAAACCGACGGTAGGGGGCGTAAAGTCATGTTTCGACACAACGAAAGCAGTTTCATCCAATGAGAATGTAAGAAAAGACGATTATGCAAATATTCAACGTGAGCACAAACGCTCAATAGAGGGCGTGTTTACATGCAACCGACGGTTAACCAATCAGCGTCGAGATATTTGCATACCGGAGGAAATATGCAAATACCGAAGAACGAGATTCAGACTTTGTTCTCATTGCTTAAATTACAGTTGCAAACACAAAAAATTGATTCAATACCCTCGAAACCCTTCCATTTCAACAAATTACAAGTACAAACCTTCGGTGTCGAAAAATTATAAGTGCGAACCATCCATCTTACAAGATTGCAGTGAAAAGCCACCTACTTTGAAAATTTACAGTAGTAAAGATTATAGTGAAAAGCCAGTTTTTTTGAAAAAATACAGTAGCAAATCCGAGAGAAATAACATGAGTAATTCGCCAGAAAATAATGATCCTCCAACTTCGGCAATAGTCAACACATCAACTAATTCGGGAAATGTTAATCTAAATGTTGTTTTAAACCGCCTAAGTCAACCTCCCAGCGTTAGCTCGGATTCCGATATTGAAATGATACCACCGGAAAAATACAAACAAACTAATTCTAAAAAACTGAATACAATTATATCTTTTCCACATCAGTTCCCCGGTTTATCGTACCCACTTGTACAAAATGAAAAATGGATCTATTCTATAGTGCCGTCGGATAGTAAAATCGTGAAGAAAATTGAACACCCGGAAGTTTTGAATTTAAAATTAATCGAAGCAAACATTGAAAAAGACCCAATTATGAAGACCATCCGAGACAACATCAGAGACAGGAATCCACGAGCAAAGAAGATTATTACAAGATTAGGACAATACTACGCCCAGCATTACAACGATTTCGCAGTAAGGGAGAATTGCCTGTGGATGGACGGCCGGTTAGCAATACCGAAGGACCTATCATCAGCAATTCTAAATCGTCTCCATTATAACCATCACGGGAGGGATAAGATGTTCGCGGCGGCAAAGGACGTGTGGATTCCCCTTATGCACCGAAATATCGCGGCCACAGCCAAATACTGCAAAAGTTGTTTAGAAGCAGGTAAAAACCTTAAACCAGACATTCCCAAAAATGACATAGGGGAAACGTATAATCCTAAGGAACCAAATGATTTGGTCCAATTAGACTTCTGGGGTCGAGTAAACTATGTTAGGGGTCGGAAAAAAATATGTACTTGTAGCAGTAGATACTTTCTCGCATTGGCCGTCGGCGTATGTTTGTTCAAGCAACAAATCAAAAAGTGTATTGAAATTCCTAAGGAAGTACATAAATACTCATGGACACCCAAGGAAATTGCACATGGATCAAGCCACGGGGTTTTTCTCTAACGAAATTCAAAACTTCTGTAACTACGAAGGTATTGAACTTATTAAATCTCCGGTTAGGGACCATCGCGCAACAGGAATGGTTGAACGGACTATTGGCTCGATAAAAAATTACGTGTTGACTTATCTCCAGGAAAATAAAAACTACAAGTTTGGGGAGATGATCTCCCGTGCGCTTAGTGCATTACGTTTCGTGCCACACTCTAAAACTAAACTAACGCCGTTCGAAGCATACCATGGTCGAGAAGCTAATACGGCACTGCGAAACTTAACGAAAAAGCCGTCATTAAAAAACCTAAATTGGAACAATGTCGTTAATCAAAAGTTATCTTGTTTAGACAAGGCGGGAAACCTCCCAGAAGTTGAACTTACCCTAGATTGGGAGAAGAGAAGTGACTTAGTGTTCGCCCCTCAAAATAGGAAAGCTCCAATCATTTTGAACGATGACGAGGTAGCGGATCCTAAGGCTCCGGAAGTTGTGGACCCCAAGGAACTAGGCCCACCCAAGACCCCAACATGGCTGAAAAGGCATAAAGAAAGTTCAACGACGGTGTATCAGAGGACCGGGAAGACGGATCCAAAGGAACCAAGGAGGTATAAAGGTTTGCCATTAAAAATTGTCAAAATGACTAAACATGCGGTGCAAATGAAAAAAGGGTCGTTACTAAGGCGGAGTGTTGTGTCTTTTAGATCGGCGGCTGAAGAAAGCCTAATTGGAAATAAAAGCGAGGAGTGCACCCCTGGACCGAGTAGAAATGTGACCAGTACACCGGCCCCAAGCGATTCGAATAAATATAAACGAAAAGCGGAGAAGGACCGAGCCGCAATGGAAAATGCAAGAAAATGAACAAAACAGCGAATAGTGGAATACTCGGCGGACGAGAGCGAAGACGACGACGACGAATACGATAGTGAGTGGGAAATCGGACGAAGGGAACCAACCCTAGGTGCGGCGAACGAAGGACAGGATGTACCGTCGGTTAGTGTGAACTCACCACGACCCGTCGGTGGAAAACGCAATAAAAATCAGCACGAAACGGCGACGCGAAAATCAACACGGCAGAGACGCGGAGTTGACAAAATGGGGGGGGGGGGGGGGGGGGGTTATGATCCACCGCATAGAACATAAATGATGGAATCGACAAGACGAGAAAAGGAGAAAGGTAACCTTAAGAGAGGTTTGGCGGGTGAGAAAACTCAACAAAAACTAAAAACTTAACTAGTACATTTATACAATACAATACAGTAACATAAAGTTGATAAATTTTATCTACGCTAAAATTTATTTGTGGTTGCCCGAATGATATAGGGACCAGTTTTGAGTTTATGTAAGTGCTATCAATTCTTCTAGATAGACACCAGTTTGAGTTTATGTAAGTGCTATCAATTCTTCTTTCTGTCTGGGGACCTGCTGTCTTGACCTTGCGATCTCTAATGTCCGATGGGATCTGAAATAAAAGAGTGCAGTAAGATTTCGATTTGATGCCTAACAGTTTGCCTATAATAAAACTTATTAACAACCTTTTGAATTTCCAAACTTACGACTTTAACACTTTTTTGAAATATCAATTTTGGCTGACGCGTTTTTTTGGTCAGTATTTTCCAAAAAGTGCTTAAAAATTTGTCTAATCATTGACAATTGCTGCCTATGATAGAATAAGGGATGTAGCTCAATTGGTAGAGCGCGCGCTTAGCATGCGCGAGGTACGGGGATCGATGCCCCGCATCTCCAAATGCTGGACTTTATCTCCAACCATTACATTTTATTTTAATTTTGAAGTTTTTGTCATAATCATAGGAAACTTTAAATCCACAAAAAGTTTTGAAGTCGTAATCATGTGAAACTTTTTTAAAAAAAGTATTGAAGTGGACTCAAATGGTTACATCAGTTTGTCATAAATAAGTTTAACATAATGTTGTTTGGATTATAATGGTAGTATTTTGGTATAGATTAAAAATCAAGTCACACTTGTCAGTTTTATCCATTATTTTCCTGGGCTGTTTTAAGGAGAATGAGCGTCTGAAGAAAGAATCGGATGAGGCGAGGGCGACGGTGGACTGCCAGATGGAGAAGATAGCCAGTCTGCTGGCTCAGAACCAGAAGTACCTCGAGCAGAGCAACATCATGCTCGAACAGAGAAACGAGTCCTTTCAGGTACATGTGCTAATTGATGAGCTTGAGTTTTGATGCGTAATTCGGGATGCTAAGTTTTAAATGAGTTTGAAAGAAGATATCCGAGCAGCGATAGCAAGGAGTATATTTAGAATTGTGCGATGACGTTCTAAACAGTCAAGTTTAGATTCTGTCTTCGATATAAAAAAGTTTGATTACCTCAATCAAAAGTAGAATTCAAAGAAATGCTTGAAATAAATAACAAGAAGTTCGGAATCTTAAAAAATAATGAAAACAAACAAATGATCGAGAGGCTAATGAAAACTGTTTTTGTGTAAGTAGTCGATGTTTAGAGTGTGTCCTCGGCTAGTCAGATCAAAATTACCCAGCTGGAACAGGAAAAGACTCAGATGCTGAACGAGTTGAACTCCCTGAACAACAAAGTGGCAGAACTGCAGTTCGACCTGTCCACCCACAAGCAGCGCCAGCTGGACTTCAAGGCCCAAGTGAACGAAGAGGCACTGGGCAAGAACCAGATGAGAGAGGATCTGGCCACGTCTAGGAACAGAATCACAGGTAGCTCAGGGATCCTGTTGGAAGGAACTTTTAACTTGCATTAAAAACTGGAACAAACTGGCTCCCTCTGTATTCGTTCACAAAGGTTTGCCTGTTTGAGCAATCACTGAATACAAGACCTATCACTGCTGTTAGTTCCATGATGTAGAGGCCTTGACTCCCTGCCATTTCATAATTGGTCAACACGCTGCTGTTTTTCCGTCGCAAAGCTTCGAAGTAAATTTTGATCAAAGAAAGCGCTACGCCAGAGCAGAGCACAATCATCGTATCTGTGATTGGCTTAATCGTATCTGTGATTGGCTTAATCGTATCTGTGATTGGCTTAATCGTTTCTGTGATTGGCTAACGACTTGTATATTTTATGAGATGTCTACCTTTTGACCGCATTCAGTTGTCTCAAATTGAGTTAATTTTATCAAAAAAGACCGATTAATTGCAATTGTTTTTATCAAACTGTTCTGTTTCATTGTAGAACTGGAGGAGGACGTTGCGAAGCTGAAGCAGGCCTACCGGGAGCAGAGAGCGGCAAGAAAGGTGGCAGAGTCCAAGATCACAGAGCTGGAGGAACAAGTCACTGACTCGACTGCCGAAGTGGACAGTCTCAACCGACAAATCGGAGAGCGGAAGAGGAGGGCAGACACCGAAAAACAGCTGCAAGAGAAAGAAATGGAGGATCTCAGAAAGCTACATGAGGTACAGGTCGTGGCTCTTCTTCTTGTTTTCCCCCTCCCCATTTTTTGCAGAGGTGGAATTTAACTTTGCCCTCTTGTTTACGCTTTAGGCCCGAAAACGGCCCGAAAGATATATGTTTTATAAATAAATCAATTTTTGTTCGTTGGCCGGTCGGCGATCGTCATGAAGTATGATATAACAGTAAAGCATGAAGCAGCAATATAACAATAAAAAGGTTCCCAGACCGGGAGTCGAACCCGGGCCTTGTGGGTGAGAGCCACAAATCCTGACCGCTAGACCATCTGGGACTTGTGATACTTCTGGAGATAGTTGAGTATATGCTGGACCAGCAAATATGCATGCGTTGCGTTCATTGCGTTAATAAAGACTCAACATAGACCAAATGGTAACGCAAAATTGCATTCATAAGCTGAACTGGTAAATACTACTTAGCTCATCAAATTCAAAGAAAACGGAATTTTATGGTGTAACGAGTGGTTTTACAATGTTGAATATGGAGACTAAATGTGTTTGTCATGGCCCAATTATTCCACATACTTATTTTTGTAACAATCGGAAAATATTAAAAAAAAATTTAGGGGGGGGGGGGGGTGGAAAAGAGCCCATGAAAAACATTTTTAGTCCTCATGCTTATTCTGGTAAAACCTATTGTGGGAGATGTGAGGTGCGGGGGGGGGGGAGAAGAGTTCCAAACTTGGATATTCGAAAAAAAAGGCATTGATGCTTTGCTTACGTGAGGTAGAAACAAGAAAATCTCTTCTTATTGTGAAGAAAGAAAGAGAACCTAATTTAATGATTTCCGCACCAACTGCTTTAAATATTTTTCATATGGAAGATATTTCGGGGAATTGTAGCACAGAAGTTCCGTCTGAGAGACTACGATCGGAAGATTGTGGGTTCGAATCCCTGGCTATCGGTAGGGCTGATTGGTGTGGAGTAGTTGAAGCCCTGCGCTTGAGACGTCCAAGTGACCCTCTACATGCCTAGATCCAAACAGCCCTATAATGCGGTTGTGAGGAGCCCAGTCATACCCGCCCTCACAAATCAAGAGACTACGGGGTTCAAGGTCAAGAGACTGAGGTGTATGACTGTAACCAAGTGCTGTACCGGCGCTCGGGTCAGGGATACGATTCATACTGTGTTGCAAAGCCCCCATGTGGCAATGGCAGTTGTACCTGCCCTTACAAATCAAGAGACTACGGGGCAAAGGTCAAGAGACTGAGGGGAAGCTGCTCCACGTGGAACAACATTTTTAACAATACAAACAGGGTTTCCTGTTTTATTTTCGTGGCTCTTTTTCTTCCCCCCCCCCATGATCAATAAGCATCAATTTTATGGTCTAACGAGGGGTGAAGACCAAATACGTTTTTCATAGGCTCTTCTGTTTGGAAGCGTTCAACAGTGCCGAAAAAGGCGGGAAAACTTCAGATTTATTTACACGCATTTTTAAAGAGCGGGAAATTACTGACGCTTATTATCAGAGAAAATCACTCCAATTTTGGCGCCAATATGTATGCAACTGCAAATTAAACAATTATTTTGCCGCCAAAACGTCTAAATTGCAAATTTTCCCGCTCAAAATCTTAGTCTTACTTAAGATTGCAAACGATCGCTGTTTTATTTTTGATTTTCGGCACTGTTGTACTTCGGCACTGTTGAACGCCCCCAAAACAGAATAGAGGAGAACCGGATCGCTAGCGTAAAAAAAGAGCGCCAAAATTAGTTACGTACTACCGCGTATTCAGACACTGTATTACCCAATCAGAATCGAGAAAAAGGAAGATATGAAATTCATTTCTTCGTTGTCTCGATTCTGATTGGTTAATACTGTGTCTGAATACGCGGTTGTCTAAATAGAGACCTCACTCCACCAAAATTGCTCAATTCAGTGCTTTTAGTGCGTGAACAAGTTTTCGATTGAACATTCGGCGTTGGCTGGTTGGGGTGCCGGACATCAAGCCGACGAGACTTCAAGCCGAATCGTAAACTTAGGGACTTCAAGCCGAAAATTTTCTCATTAAGTGATGAAATAGGATTAATTTGAAAACCTTTTTAAAGAGATTCCTACTTTTATGATCTTTTTTCAGTAATCATTGGCTTTTTCATAAAATTTAAGCCTCCAAATGATGTTTAGGAAAGTTGAAATATAAAACACGGTTGAAGGCAATTTTCTTGTTTATAATTTATGCATTTCAAAAACTGTCTGAAATTATTAACGAATGCCAATCCTAAGTGATTCATTGTCACGAATAACTCTTATTATGGACTAAACTTGCCTAAATTTTTGTAAAGCAAGGTTTTACAGATGAAAAAATTGTAAAAATTGTGCTTGTAATGTTTAAACTTCGGTCTGAAGTCCCTTCTTCGGCTTGAAGTCCCGTCGGCTTGTTGTTCTGGACCCGACTGGTTGTCCTAGGGTTACATAGCAGTATTTAGACAACCGCGTATTCAGACACGTCACTATTTAGACAAATATTGTTTTAACCAATCAGAATCGAGACAAGGAAGAAATTAATAAATAGTTATTATTTATTTTGGATTATTTATGTCTTTTCTCGATTCTGATTGGTTCATACAGTATTTGTCTAAATACTGACGAGTATGAATACGCGGTTGTCTAAAAACAGGCTGTACTCTGGTTACATGTCAGTATTTAGACAGCCGCGTATTCATACTGGTCAGTATTTAGACAAATACTGTTTCAACCAATCAGAATCGAGACAAAGAAGAAATTAATAAATAATTATTATTTATTTTGGATTATTTATGTTTTTTCTCGATTCTGATTGGTTGAAACAGTATTTGTCTAAATACTGACCAGTATGAATACGCGGCTGTCTAAATACTGGCCGCACTCCCTGTACTCCGTATTCATAGGTTCCACAATGAAAAATCAGTCCCATAGGTTCCAAAATAAAACAGCAGTCGCATAAGTTCCAAATTTTTTCAATTGGTCAAAAGACTAAATTAGCCGAATCTCGGTTTAAGGTCGCCGGTGGGCGCGCGTCGCCGCTTTGCGGCGATAACCGGCTCTAAATTTTGCATAGAGTCCTACCCTTTGGTGGCAAGCACGCAACACGTTGGCGCGGCTGCGGCGGTCACTGTTCTGTAGTTTGAGTTTATGCTGCTTGAACAGTATACAATCAATCTAGAAATTCGTTGGCTCAAATTTCAACCAATCAGAAATCAATAAGATAAATTTTGGAACTTATGCGACTGATTTTTTCTATTTTGGAACTCCTTAACCTAGACTGACTGAACTGTTGTGTGTTGCAGAGTGAAATCGAGAGTTGGAAACTGAGAGTGGAGCAGCAGCGGAAACAGGGAAGTGAGGCCAGTCTGGCTCTCACTAAACTGGAGAGTGAGCTGGAGAGTCAGTGGCGTCTGAAGTGTGACAAGATGGTCTCTGACACCAGACAGCAGCTGGAACAGCAACTCCGCACAGCTAATCAGAGGGCAGATCAACTGCAGCTAGAGGTTAGACCTTTGTTAGTGTCACAACTGTAAACAGAAGACAACTCGACCAGAAAGGAGTTTGTGCTGGTCACAGACAAAAACAAATCACACCTCACACAAAAACACAATTTGATGCATACCTCTTATTACTAAACAGTCGTCTGAGAGGATATTAAATTTTCATTAAACTTCCATGCAAAAAAAAATGACAGATCGAAAAAAACTACTGTACATTAATAAATTACTCGGTTCTTATGCACAAAACAGCCCAAATTTAATTAATATTTCTATATCTTATAGCTAAATATTATGCGGTGGAATCTGATTGGCTAAAACTAGCCATTCAGCTTCACGCAACATGGTGTACGCAAAACGTAGTACTTTTCAATTAATAATTTAAGTTGGGGAGGGTTCTCATGCTTGAAGGACCGAATGCTTGAAAAATTTCAACCAATCAAAATCGCTAAGCGTTCTTATTGCTAAATGCCTTTCCCACAAAATCGAAATCAATATTAACAGAAAATATATTAAATTAGTGGTAAATAATCAAAATGTTGCAAGTTGTGGGTTACAACCGCATTGCTATTCAGATAATCATAAAGATTAATGAGTTCAAAATTAAAAGAAATTTTCAGTCTTGAAAACTCATCTGCTTATTATCTAATCGGTCAATATTAACACTAATGGCCTAGATTTATTTTCTTATTTTGAGATTTTTGCGATTTACTTTGAGATTTTGAATACTCAATTCTGATTGGCTGAAAGTAAGCTAAAATTAATTTCAAGCATTCGGTCCTTCAAGCATGAGGGACGCCGCCATTTAAGTTTCTTTAAGTCACTTTTGGGGTTTTATGCACTAAACGGCCCAAAATTAGTATTTCTACATAGAACTACAAATTTATGTAGTTGAATCTGATTGGCTAATGCAACAACGCGTACGGTACTTAAATCAAAACTTCAAGCTGATAAAATTGTTAGCCGAAATTACCAAAGCCTAAGGTGAGCAGTCGTGGTCAAGTGGGTTGGGCACATCTCTCTTAACACGAGGGTCATACGTTCGAATCCCGCTTCGGTCACGGCTGGAGGGGTCCCAGCGTCATCCGCCTCCTCAAGGTGGGACCGGCTGCGGCAAAATGGATGACATCTCCCCCTCCCCCACGGTTGGTCCTGCACTGAGCAGGCCGGGGGCAAATAAAAAAAAAAAAACCAAAGCCTAAGAACTTTTTTTCTGTTGAAAACATTTCACAAAACTAATTTTATTATGTGACCAAGTTTTACATTTTCTTTAATTTCGGCTAAAGTTTTTATCTGCTGGAAACGTTGACCGAAGCGCGTGACCGTGTTCCTTGAGTTTGATTGGGCCAATCAGATTCGACCGCATAACTTTCGGCTCAAAATATAGAAACATTGATTTTGGGCGGTTTAGTGCATAAGACCCCACTTTTGAATTGAAACGCTGAGCCATGTTATTTGAATTTGATAGGTGCACTAGCCAATCAGACTCAGTCACATTAATTTCAGTTTAAGATATAGAAATACTACTTTAGGCCGTTTAGCGCATAAAAACCGTCTATATGATCTTATGAGGTTTGACTTTTGAATTCTTTCCCAGACCAATTCAAATTTATATTACAAAATGAAGGCAAGTTACGCTCTCCAAGTACTAGAATGCAAATGGCGAGAACAAACGTGGGGTCTTTTGGGGGCTATTCTCATGCGCGAAGGACCGAATGGGCGAAAATACTTGTAGGCCAAGGACCGAAGACAAAATTAGCCGAAAGTCAATTTTTAAACAGAAACAATTGCCATTCAGTTAAAATGAATTAAATGAAGCAATATTTTGCTACTTTCATTACGAAACCCTTGAAATGTAAAATTTGTCCCACTTTTGCGGCGGTCAATGAAAATTTTGAAGATTTTGCATATTTCTGCCGTTTTTAGATTCGGCCAATATCAATACTCCAGTACTTGGAAATGTTTACTTTCTTTCAAACTTTTAGATTAATGAAATCTGATTGGCTGATTTTTTTCGCGCATTCGGTCCTTCGCGCATGAGGGATTCCACCGGGTCTAGATTCGGCCAGTTTTCTAGATTCGACCGGGTCTAGATTCGGCCAATATCAATACTCCAGTCCCTGGAAATGTTTACTTTCTTTCCAAATTTTAGATTACTGAAATCTGATTGGCTTATTTTTTTTTCGCGCATTCGGTCCTTCGCGCATGAGGGATTCCACCGTGTTAATTTGCTAATTTGCAGTGTTCAATGAATAAATGCAGAGAACAAAACACTGATGACGCTGGTTCGCTTGGTTAACACACATGCAATCATTTTAACTTTCAGCCGATGTCCAACAAGGCTGACTTTTGAGCAGATAATAAAAAATATATTTTTTTCCTGTAGCTATTTTTTGTGTTTTTCTTCTGGTCTTCTGCAGTTTATTTGAAACAAACTCGAATATTTTTCAAAATAATTACATTTTTTTGGCTAATTCGGTTAATTTATAAGTCTACTTAACATAGTGAACAAAATATTTTGCCATGTCGCTAAAATTTGATTGGCTAATACTAGCCAATCAAATAGAAGCAACATAGTTTCATTTCAGGATATTCAAATAGTGATTTTTGGACGGAATATGTAAAAAAAAAATCCAAAATTTGAACGACTTTGGTTTCGAAAGGGGATTTAAGTTTTTAAATTTCACATCAGAATGAAAAGAAAATTGCCTATTGATCCAGTGTTTTCACTTTCGGTTAATTTTATCAAAAAAAGTCATGAAGAAGTGTTTCTTGAAAAAAAGCATCAAGACCATATATTTTTCCTTTGAAATTCGAAATCAGAAGTTTCTCTTTAGAAAAAGCGAGTCAGATTTTTGACACTTGTTTAGCTTTTGTTTAGTTTTTTGTCACTTGATAGCCATGTTTGTGATAGTTAAAAGTGATTTAAAAAATTTTGGGGAAAATATTCCAAATTTTGTTAAATTTAATATGCCACTTCATTTTTCAAATATCTATTGCCCAAAAATCAGTGATATCTCTCCTGAATAAGATCCACTGAACGTAATTAAGACTCTCATATTGGTCTTGGTGATTTTTTTTTGTCAGGAAAATTTGATTTTAAGCGGTTTGACTTTTGATTTCTTTTGTTCAGTTCATTTCCTTTGTTTTAGGGGATGCAAACTCGGCTTCTAGTTTCGAAAGTGGATTTTGTTTTTCAGATTTCCCAGCTGAATAAAAAATTAAGCTATTGATCTAGTTTTCTTAAATTGGGATAATTTTATCAACAAATTGCCAGTGATGAATTATTCTTGAAATTCAGCGAGCTTAAAAAGCATATATATATTTTTTGTGGATATCGAAACAATTTTCACAAACAATTAGATGTATTTTTTTCTTGCGTTCATTGACTTTTTTCCAACTGTCTGTTGGCTATGTTTTTTCAAATGTGCACTTGTTTAAGTATTTTGGTTTTGTTTTTTTTTCTGGGGGAAACTATCAAATTTGAGTCTTGATCAACTTAAAAGTTTTCGAGGTTTGACTTTTGAATTTTTTAAAGTCAAGTTCAAATTCTTTTGCTAAAAGGAAGGTAAATTACGGTTCATGAAAAAAGTGCAGATGGCTCAAAAATTGTGATTGGTTTTATTGTCGAAAGTGGATTTTTTTAGATTCAAAATAACCTATTGTCAAAACGGCAAATTGGTTTAATTGACAATTCCCTGTTAGTAGCAAGTCGTAAGCATAAATTAGTCGTAATTAATAGAGCTTCATTGAGTTCAGCTTTCGTATCATTTTTGTTGGCTAGTTATAATGCCATGTTTTGGGTAAATTAATTTTTTTGTTATTCCTCAATTGCTGCTTACTTTCGCCGAGTCAGCGTTGAGTTTGGCTTCATCAATTTTTTATTAAAAACAGTTTTGATTTTTTTTGTAATCTTACCATTTCCATTTTTTATTTTCCGTTTTTATCTCACCTGCAGGTGTTTTCGGCTCAAATGATTTCAGTTTTTTTAAGCTTATTAAAAATGGTTTAAGTTTATATCTGCTTAGTCGCCTTATGTTGTGTCGTTTGTTGGGTGAAACCAGAGTCTAATGATTGTGCGCTTCGAGAGCGGCGTACAAGCTTAACATTTTGAGTCGCAACATTAATTAACCCTGGCAACTGTGGTTTTTGGCTGCCTTTCTCCAAATTGAACTTTTTTCGACCTTTTTTTCAAAGTTTTTTTTACAACTGCGAGCTTTTCGTCTCATTTTTGATCGGCTAGCTTACCATTCTATGTTTTAGTTGAGTCGTACGTGATTCAAAGCTCCGGCTCACCTCGGCGTCAGTTTTGCTTTTAGTTTTTTAAGATAAGTGATAAGTTATCTCAACATGTTATGACTAGGTTAACTTTTTTAGGCGTCTAAAGCAAAGACGAGTGCGAGTGAGCTCCATACATCTCTTAACACAGCACAGAGGGAGATGGAGAGTACGAAGAGCACATTGGAGAACAAGGTACATTTTTTCAGCCTTTTCCACTTATAACAGTAAAGCATGAAGCAGCAATATAACAATAAAAAGGTTCCCAGACCGGGAGTCGAACCCGGGCCTTGTGGGTGAGAGCCACAAATCCTGACCGCTAGACCATCTGGGACTTGTGATACTTCTGGAGATAGTTGAGTATATGCTGGACCAGCAAATATGCATGCGTTGCGTTCATTGCGTTAATAAAGACTCAACATAGACCAAATGGTAACGCAAAATTGCATTCATAAGCTGAACTGGTAAATACTACTTAGCTCATCAAATTCAAAGAAAACGGAATTTTATGGTGTAACGAGTGGTTTTACAATGTTGAATATGGAGACTAAATGTGTTTGTCATGGCCCAATTATTCCACATACTTATTTTTGTAACAATCGGAAAATATTTAAAAAAATTTAGGGGGGGGGGGTGGAAAAGAGCCCATGAAAAACATTTTTAGTCCTCATGCTTATTCTGGTAAAACCTATTGTGGGAGATGTGAGGTGCGGGGGGGGGGGAGAAGAGTTCCAAACTTGGATATTCGAAAAAAAAGGCATTGATGCTTTGCTTACGTGAGGTAGAAACAAGAAAATCTCTTCTTATTGTGAAGAAAGAAAGAGAACCTAATTTAATGATTTCCGCACCAACTGCTTTAAATATTTTTCATATGGAAGATATTTCGGGGAATTGTAGCACAGAAGTTCCGTCTGAGAGACTACGATCGGAAGATTGTGGGTTCGAATCCCTGGCTATCGGTAGGGCTGATTGGTGTGGAGTAGTTGAAGCCCTGCGCTTGAGACGTCCAAGTGACCCTCTACATGCCTAGATCCAAACAGCCCTATAATGCGGTTGTGAGGAGCCCAGTCATACCCGCCCTCACAAATCAAGAGACTACGGGGTTCAAGGTCAAGAGACTGAGGTGTATGACTGTAACCAAGTGCTGTACCGGCGCTCGGGTCAGGGATACGATTCATACTGTGTTGCAAAGCCCCCATGTGGCAATGGCAGTTGTACCTGCCCTTACAAATCAAGAGACTACGGGGCAAAGGTCAAGAGACTGAGGGGAAGCTGCTCCACGTGGAACAACATTTTTAACAATACAAACAGGGTTTCCTGTTTTATTTTCGTGGCTCTTTTTCTTCCTCCCCCCATGATCAATAAGCATCAATTTTATGGTCTAACGAGGGGTGAAGACCAAATACGTTTTTCATAGGCTCTTATGTTTGGAAGCGTTCAACAGTGCCGAAAAAGGCGGGAAAACTTCAGATTTATTTACACGCATTTTTAAAGAGCGGGAAATTACTGACGCTTATTATCAGAGAAAATCACTCCAATTTTGGCGCCAATATGTATGCAACTGCAAATTAAACAATTATTTTGCCGCCAAAACGTCTAAATTGCAAATTTTCCCGCTCAAAATCTTAGTCTTACTTAAGATTGCAAACGATCGCTGTTTTATTTTTGATTTTCGGCACTGTTGTACTTCGGCACTGTTGAACGCCCCCAAAACAGAATAGAGGAGAACCGGATCGCTAGCGTAAAAAAAGAGCGCCAAAATTAGTTACGTACTACCGCGTATTCAGACACTGTATTACCCAATCAGAATCGAGAAAAAGGAAGATATGAAATTCATTTCTTCGTTGTCTCGATTCTGATTGGTTAATACTGTGTCTGAATACGCGGTTGTCTAAATAGAGACCTCACTCCACCAAAATTGCTCAATTCAGTGCTTTTAGTGCGTGAACAAGTTTTAGATTGAACATTCGGCGTTGGCTGGTTGGGGTGCCGGACATCAAGCCGACGAGACTTCAAGCCGAATCGTAAACTTAGGGACTTCAAGCCGAAAATTTTCTCATTAAGTGATGAAATAGGATTAATTTGAAAATCTTTTTAAAGAGATTCCTACTTTTATGATCTTTTTTCAGTAATCATTGGCTTTTTCATAAAATTTAAGCCTCCAAATGATGTTTAGGAAAGTTGAAATATAAAACACGGTTGAAGGCAATTTTCTTGTTTATAATTTATGCATTTCAAAAACTGTCTGAAATTATTAACGAATGCCAATCCTAAGTGATTCATTGTCACGAATAACTCTTATTATGGACTAAACTTGCCTAAATTTTTGTAAAGCAAGGTTTTACAGATGAAAAAATTGTAAAAATTGTGCTTGTAATGTTTAAACTTCGGTCTGAAGTCCCTTCTTCGGCTTGAAGTCCCGTCGGCTTGTTGTTCTGGACCCGACTGGTTGTCCTAGGGTTACATAGCAGTATTTAGACAACCGCGTATTCAGACACGTCACTATTTAGACAAATATTGTTTTAACCAATCAGAATCGAGACAAGGAAGAAATTAATAAATAGTTATTATTTATTTTGGATTATTTATGTCTTTTCTCGATTCTGATTGGTTCATACAGTATTTGTCTAAATACTGACGAGTATGAATACGCGGCTGTCTAAATACTGGCCGCACTCCCTGTACTCCGTATTCATAGGTTCCACAATGAAAAATCAGTCCCATAGGTTCCAAAATAAAACAGCAGTCGCATAAGTTCCAAATTTTTTCAATTGGTCAAAAGACTAAATTAGCCGAATCTCGGTTTAAGGTCGCCGGTGGGCGCGCGTCGCCGCTTTGCGGCGATAACCGGCTCTAAATTTTGCATAGAGTCCTACCCTTTGGTGGCAAGCACGCAACACGTTGGCGCGGCTGCGGCGGTCACTGTTCTGTAGTTTGAGTTTATGCTGCTTGAACAGTATACAATCAATCTAGAAATTCGTTGGCTCAAATTTCAACCAATCAGAAATCAATAAGATAAATTTTGGAACTTATGCGACTGATTTTTTCTATTTTGGAACTCCTTAACCTAGACTGACTGAACTGTTGTGTGTTGCAGAGTGAAATCGAGAGTTGGAAACTGAGAGTGGAGCAGCAGCGGAAACAGGGAAGTGAGGCCAGTCTGGCTCTCACTAAACTGGAGAGTGAGCTGGAGAGTCAGTGGCGTCTGAAGTGTGACAAGATGGTCTCTGACACCAGACAGCAGCTGGAACAGCAACTCCGCACAGCTAATCAGAGGGCAGATCAACTGCAGCTAGAGGTTAGACCTTTGTTAGTGTCACAACTGTAAACAGAAGACAACTCGACCAGAAAGGAGTTTGTGCTGGTCACAGACAAAAACAAATCACACCTCACACAAAAACACAATTTGATGCATACCTCTTATTACTAAACAGTCGTCTGAGAGGATATTAAATTTTCATTAAACTTCCATGCAAAAAAAAAATGACAGATCGAAAAAAACTACTGTACATTAATAAATTACTCGGTTCTTATGCACAAAACAGCCCAAATTTAATTAATATTTCTATATCTTATAGCTAAATATTATGCGGTGGAATCTGATTGGCTAAAACTAGCCATTCAGCTTCACGCAACATGGTGTACGCAAAACGTAGTACTTTTCAATTAATAATTTAAGTTGGGGAGGGTTCTCATGCTTGAAGGACCGAATGCTTGAAAAATTTCAACCAATCAAAATCGCTAAGCGTTCTTATTGCTAAATGCCTTTCCCACAAAATCGAAATCAATATTAACAGAAAATATATTAAATTAGTGGTAAATAATCAAAATGTTGCAAGTTGTGGGTTACAACCGCATTGCTATTCAGATAATCATAAAGATTAATGAGTTCAAAATTAAAAGAAATTTTCAGTCTTGAAAACTCATCTGCTTATTATCTAATCGGTCAATATTAACACTAATGGCCTAGATTTATTTTCTTATTTTGAGATTTTTGCGATTTACTTTGAGATTTTGAATACTCAATTCTGATTGGCTGAAAGTAAGCTAAAATTAATTTCAAGCATTCGGTCCTTCAAGCATGAGGGACGCCGCCATTTAAGTTTCTTTAAGTCACTTTTGGGGTTTTATGCACTAAACGGCCCAAAATTAGTATTTCTACATAGAACTACAAATTTATGTAGTTGAATCTGATTGGCTAATGCAACAACGCGTACGGTACTTAAATCAAAACTTCAAGCTGATAAAATTGTTAGCCGAAATTACCAAAGCCTAAGGTGAGCAGTCGTGGTCAAGTGGGTTGGGCACATCTCTCTTAACACGAGGGTCATACGTTCGAATCCCGCTTCGGTCACGGCTGGAGGGGTCCCAGCGTCATCCGCCTCCTCAAGGTGGGACCGGCTGCGGCAAAATGGATGACATCTCCCCCTCCCCCACGGTTGGTCCTGCACTGAGCAGGCCGGGGGCAAATAAAAAAAAAACCAAAGCCTAAGAACTTTTTTTCTGTTGAAAACATTTCACAAAACTAATTTTATTATGTGACCAAGTTTTACATTTTCTTTAATTTCGGCTAAAGTTTTTATCTGCTGGAAACGTTGACCGAAGCGCGTGACCGTGTTCCTTTAGTTTGATGGGGCCAATCAGATTCGACCGCATAACTTTCGGCTCAAAATATAGAAACATTGATTTTGGGCGGTTTAGTGCATAAGACCCCACTTTTGAATTGAAACGCTGAGCCATGTTATTTGAATTTGATAGGTGCACTAGCCAATCAGACTCAGTCACATTAATTTCAGTTTAAGATATAGAAATACTACTTTAGGCCGTTTAGCGCATAAAAACCGTCTATATGATCTTATGAGGTTTGACTTTTGAATTCTTTCCCAGACCAATTCAAATTTATATTACAAAATGAAGGCAAGTTACGCTCTCCAAGTACTAGAATGCAAATGGCGAGAACAAACGTGGGGTCTTTTGGGGGCTATTCTCATGCGCGAAGGACCGAATGGGCGAAAATACTTGTAGGCCAAGGACCGAAGACAAAATTAGCCGAAAGTCAATTTTTAAACAGAAACAATTGCCATTCAGTTAAAATGAATTAAATGAAGCAATATTTTGCTACTTTCATTACGAAACCCTTGAAATGTAAAATTTGTCCCACTTTTGCGGCGGTCAATGAAAATTTTGAAGATTTTGCATATTTCTGCCGTTTTTAGATTCGGCCAATATCAATACTCCAGTACTTGGAAATGTTTACTTTCTTTCAAACTTTTAGATTAATGAAATCTGATTGGCTGATTTTTTTCGCGCATTCGGTCCTTCGCGCATGAGGGATTCCACCGGGTCTAGATTCGGCCAGTTTTCTAGATTCGACCGGGTCTAGATTCGGCCAATATCAATACTCCAGTCCCTGGAAATGTTTACTTTCTTTCCAAATTTTAGATTACTGAAATCTGATTGGCTTATTTTTTTTTCGCGCATTCGGTCCTTCGCGCATGAGGGATTCCACCGTGTTAATTTGCTAATTTGCAGTGTTCAATGAATAAATGCAGAGAACAAAACACTGATGACGCTGGTTCGCTTGGTTAACACACATGCAATCATTTTAACTTTCAGCCGATGTCCAACAAGGCTGACTTTTGAGCAGATAATAAAAAATATATTTTTTTCCTGTAGCTATTTTTTGTGTTTTTCTTCTGGTCTTCTGCAGTTTATTTGAAACAAACTCGAATATTTTTCAAAATAATTACATTTTTTTGGCTAATTCGGTTAATTTATAAGTCTACTTAACATAGTGAACAAAATATTTTGCCATGTCGCTAAAATTTGATTGGCTAATACTAGCCAATCAAATAGAAGCAACATAGTTTCATTTCAGGATATTCAAATAGTGATTTTTGGACGGAATATGTAAAAAAAAATCCAAAATTTGAACGACTTTGGTTTCGAAAGGGGATTTAAGTTTTTAAATTTCACATCAGAATGAAAAGAAAATTGCCTATTGATCCAGTGTTTTCACTTTCGGTTAATTTTATCAAAAAAAGTCATGAAGAAGTGTTTCTTGAAAAAAAGCATCAAGACCATATATTTTTCCTTTGAAATTCGAAATCAGAAGTTTCTCTTTAGAAAAAGCGAGTCAGATTTTTGACACTTGTTTAGCTTTTGTTTAGTTTTTTGTCACTTGATAGCCATGTTTGTGATAGTTAAAAGTGATTTAAAAAATTTTGGGGAAAATATTCCAAATTTTGTTAAATTTAATATGCCACTTCATTTTTCAAATATCTATTGCCCAAAAATCAGTGATATCTCTCCTGAATAAGATCCACTGAACGTAATTAAGACTCTCATATTGGTCTTGGTGATTTTTTTTTGTCAGGAAAATTTGATTTTAAGCGGTTTGACTTTTGATTTCTTTTGAGTTCAGTTCATTTCCTTTGTTTTAGGGGATGCAAACTCGGCTTCTAGTTTCGAAAGTGGATTTTGTTTTTCAGATTTCCCAGCTGAATAAAAAATTAAGCTATTGATCTAGTTTTCTTAAATTGGGATAATTTTATCAACAAATTGCCAGTGATGAAGTATTCTTGAAATTCAGCGAGCTTAAAAAGCATATATATATTTTTTGTGGATATCGAAACAATTTTCACAAACAATTAGATGTATTTTTTTCTTGCGTTCATTGACTTTTTTCCAACTGTCTGTTGGCTATGTTTTTTCAAATGTGCACTTGTTTAAGTATTTTGGTTTTGTTTTTTTTTCTGGGGGAAACTATCAAATTTGAGTCTTGATCAACTTAAAAGTTTTCGAGGTTTGACTTTTGAATTTTTTAAAGTCAAGTTCAAATTCTTTTGCTAAAAGGAAGGTAAATTACGGTTCATGAAAAAAGTGCAGATGGCTCAAAAATTGTGATTGGTTTTATTGTCGAAAGTGGATTTTTTTAGATTCAAAATAACCTATTGTCAAAACGGCAAATTGGTTTAATTGACAATTCCCTGTTAGTAGCAAGTCGTAAGCATAAATTAGTCGTAATTAATAGAGCTTCATTGAGTTCAGCTTTCGTATCATTTTTGTTGGCTAGTTATAATGCCATGTTTTGGGTAAATTAATTTTTTTGTTATTCCTCAATTGCTGCTTACTTTCGCCGAGTCAGCGTTGAGTTTGGCTTCATCAATTTTTTATTAAAAACAGTTTTGATTTTTTTTTGTAATCTTACCATTTCCATTTTTTATTTTCCGTTTTTATCTCACCTGCAGGTGTTTTCGGCTCAAATGATTTCAGTTTTTTTAAGCTTATTAAAAATGGTTTAAGTTTATATCTGCTTAGTCGCCTTATGTTGTGTCGTTTGTTGGGTGAAACCAGAGTCTAATGATTGTGCGCTTCGAGAGCGACGTACAAGCTTAACATTTTGAGTCGCAACATTAATTAACCCTGGCAACTGTGGTTTTTGGCTGCCTTTCTCCAAATTGAACTTTTTTCGACCTTTTTTTCAAAGTTTTTTTTACAACTGCGAGCTTTTCGTCTCATTTTTGATCGGCTAGCTTACCATTCTATGTTTTAGTTGAGTCGTACGTGATTCAAAGCTCCGGCTCACCTCGGCGTCAGTTTTGCTTTTAGTTTTTTAAGATAAGTGATAAGTTATCTCAACATGTTATGACTAGGTTAACTTTTTTAGGCGTCTAAAGCAAAGACGAGTGCGAGTGAGCTCCATACATCTCTTAACACAGCACAGAGGGAGATGGAGAGTACGAAGAGCACATTGGAGAACAAGGTACATTTTTTCAGCCTTTTCCACTTATAAAAAAAATCAAATATGTTTTTAATACAACACATCGAAATTTGCATAGTTTCAATTAGGAACTTAAATCATAGTAAAAGTGTTGAATGGTTTTTTCAATATTAGGAGCTAGAATTGTCGGAGCTTCGAAGGGACATTAATTTGCTTGTAGAAGAATTGGCCAATGCTAGCAAGACTGTTACACCAGAAGTGCTGCTACCCGAAGTAAGTGCCTTCTTTCAAATTACTCGATTCTAACAAATCTAAGGTAGTTAAAAGTTCACAGTAAGCTTGAATTTCTGAAAATTACGAATTCTCGGAAATCCTAAATTGCAGCGGTTGAAGTCATCATCTCTTTATTACAACAATTTTATACATGTAGTAAAGGTCTCAAAACATCCAAAATGAACGATATCGTTTATAAAGCAGCCTTAAGGTTCGTGGAAGTCGTTTAATCAGCGTTTTGTAACTTATCGTTGATATTTCAATTGGAGTTTTATGGATTTAGGTGAAGAAGATAATGAATACGATATTCCAAGTGCTGATGAAACATATAGAGAGAGATTCTCAATACACCGGGACCAGTTTGCTCGCATTCATGAAACAAGTTATTAAGGTAAGCAGTGTTACTAGTAAGCTCTTTTTTGTTTGAAAGAGGATGGGAAAGTGATCCTTTTTCCAGTTTCACCAATGTCGACAAATGTCGCCAAGGATTTTTTTGTGTCAGACTTCGGAAGTTTGACACTGAATTATGTAATTTTCCATTTTCAAGTTTTTGAGTTGATTTGATAATAATGACCAGGGGACGGATCTAGGATTTTCTCGAGGGGGGCGGATTTTTCGGATTTTTAAAAACCTCGAAAATTGTTAACGACCTTTTTTTCATTATTTAGGTTGACCAAATTGATTTTCCGAGCTTTCTCAAAGCACTAAAAAGACCATTTTGGCCAAATTTTCTGCGCCGCAAGCAAAATATTGACAAAAAGGCGTTTTTAGTCATTTTCTGGAACATTCTGACCAAAAAAATTGCGTATTTTCGGCGCGCGCTCCCCACTCAAAATTATTAACGACTAATCTGAGTTCCTCACATTGCATTAATTTAGAACTAAAAAATTGGAACCGGCATCGTGGTATGTTATCAATTGCAGTTTACTGGGGGTGCATTTCAGGACGTGACTATTAGCGTGTCATCAGGGAAACAACCGAATGCCCTCACTAGGATTTTCTCGAGGGGGGCGGATTTTTCGGATTTTTAAAAACCTCGAAAATTGTTAACGACCTTTTTTTCATTATTTAGGTTGACCAAATTGATTTTCCGAGCTTTCTCAAAGCACTAAAAAGACCGTTTTGGCCAAATTTTCTGCGCCGCAAGCAAAATATTGACAAAAAAGGCGTTTTTAGTCATTTTCTGGAACATTCTGACCAAAAAAATTGCGTATTTTCGGCGCGCGCTCCCCACTCAAAATTATTAACGACTAATCTGAGTTCCTCACATTGCATTAATTTAGAACTAAAAAATTGGAACCGGCATCGTGGTATGTTATCAATTGCAGTTTACTGGGGGTGCATTTCAGGACGTGACTATTAGCGTGTCATCAGGGAAACAACCGAATGCCCTCACTAGGATTTTCTCGAGGGGGGCGGATTTTTCGGATTTTTAAAAACCTCGAAAATTGTTAACGACCTTTTTTTCATTATTTAGGTTGACCAAATTGATTTTCCGAGCTTTCTCAAAGCACTAAAAAGACCGTTTTGGCCAAATTTTCTGCGCCGCAAGCAAAATATTGACAAAAAAGGCGTTAGTCATTTTCTGGAACATTCTGACCAAAAAAATTGCGTATTTTCGGCGCGCGCTCCCCACTCAAAATTATTAACGACTAATCTGAGTTCCTCACATTGCATTAATTTAGAACTAAAAAATTGGAACCGGCATCGTGGTATGTTATCAATTGCAGTTTACTGGGGGTGCATTTCAGGACGTGACTATTAGCGTGTCATCAGGGAAACAACCGAATGCCCTCACTAGGATTTTCTCGAGGGGGGCGGATTTTTCGGATTTTTAAAAACCTCGAAAATTTTTAACGACCTTTTTTTCATTATTTAGGTTGACCAAATTGATTTTCCGAGCTTTCTCAAAGCACTAAAAAGACCGTTTTGGCCAAATTTTCTGCGCCGCAAGCAAAATATTGACAAAAAAAGGCGTTTTTAGTCATTTTCTGGAACATTCTGACCAAAAAAATTGCGTATTTTCGGCGCGCGCTCCCCACTCAAAATTATTAACGACTAATTTGAGTTCCTCACATTGCATTAATTTAGAACTAAAAAATTGGAACCGGCATCGTGGTATGTTATCAATTGCAGTTTACTGGGGGTGCATTTCAGGACGTGACTATTAGCGTGTCATCAGGGAAACAACCGAATGCCCTCACTAGGATTTTCTCGAGGGGGGCGGATTTTTCGGATTTTTAAAAACCTCGAAAATTTTTAACGACCTTTTTTTCATTATTTAGGTTGACCAAATTGATTTTCCGAGCTTTCTCAAAGCACTAAAAAGACCGTTTTGGCCAAATTTTCTGCGCCGCAAGCAAAATATTGACAAAAAAAGGCGTTTTTAGTCATTTTCTGGAACATTCTGACCAAAAAAATTGCGTATTTTCGGCGCGCGCTCCCCACTCAAAATTATTAACGACTAATCTGAGTTCCTCACATTGCATTAATTTAGAACTAAAAAATTGGAACCGGCATCGTGGTATGTTATCAATTGCAGTTTACTGGGGGTGCATTTCAGGACGTGACTATTAGCGTGTCATCAGGGAAACAACCGAATGCCCTCACTAGGATTTTCTCGAGGGGGGCGGATTTTTCGGATTTTTAAAAACCTCGAAAATTTTTAACGACCTTTTTTTCATTATTTAGGTTGACCAAATTGATTTTCCGAGCTTTCTCAAAGCACTAAAAAGACCGTTTTGGCCAAATTTTCTGCGCCGCAAGCAAAATATTGACAAAAAAAGGCGTTTTTAGTCATTTTCTGGAACATTCTGACCAAAAAAATTGCGTATTTTCGGCGCGCGCTCCCCACTCAAAATTATTAACGACTAATCTGAGTTCCTCACATTGCATTAATTTAGAACTAAAAAATTGGAACCGGCATCGTGGTATGTTATCAATTGCAGTTTACTGGGGGTGCATTTCAGGACGTGACTATTAGCGTGTCATCAGGGAAACAACCGAATGCCCTCACTAGGATTTTCTCGAGGGGGGCGGATTTTTCGGATTTTTAAAAACCTCGAAAATTTTTAACGACCTTTTTTTCATTATTTAGGTTGACCAAATTGATTTTCCGAGCTTTCTCAAAGCACTAAAAAGACCGTTTTGGCCAAATTTTCTGCGCCGCAAGCAAAATATTGACAAAAAAAGGCGTTTTTAGTCATTTTCTGGAACATTCTGACCAAAAAAATTGCGTATTTTCGGCGCGCGCTCCCCACTCAAAATTATTAACGACTAATTTGAGTTCCTCACATTGCATTAATTTAGAACTAAAAAATTGGAACCGGCATCGTGGTATGTTATCAATTGCAGTTTACTGGGGGTGCATTTCAGGACGTGACTATTAGCGTGTCATCAGGGAAACAACCGAATGCCCTCACTAGGATTTTCTCGAGGGGGGCGGATTTTTCGGATTTTTAAAAACCTCGAAAATTTTTAACGACCTTTTTTTCATTATTTAGGTTGACCAAATTGATTTTCCGAGCTTTCTCAAAGCACTAAAAAGACCGTTTTGGCCAAATTTTCTGCGCCGCAAGCAAAATATTGACAAAAAAAGGCGTTTTTAGTCATTTTCTGGAACATTCTGACCAAAAAAATTGCGTATTTTCGGCGCGCGCTCCCCACTCAAAATTATTAACGACTAATTTGAGTTCCTCACATTGCATTAATTTAGAACTAAAAAATTGGAACCGGCATCGTGGTATGTTATCAATTGCAGTTTACTGGGGGTGCATTTCAGGACGTGACTATTAGCGTGTCATCAGGGAAACAACCGAATGCCCTCACTAGGATTTTCTCGAGGGGGGCGGATTTTTCGGATTTTTAAAAACCTCGAAAATTTTTAACGACCTTTTTTTTCATTATTTAGGTTGACCAAATTGATTTTCCGAGCTTTCTCAAAGCACTAAAAAGACCGTTTTGGCCAAATTTTCTGCGCCGCAAGCAAAATATTGACAAAAAAAGGCGTTTTTAGTCATTTTCTGGAACATTCTGACCAAAAAAATTGCGTATTTTCGGCGCGCGCTCCCCACTCAAAATTATTAACGACTAATCTGAGTTCCTCACATTGCATTAATTTAGAACTAAAAAATTGGAACCGGCATCGTGGTATGTTATCAATTGCAGTTTACTGGGGGTGCATTTCAGGACGTGACTATTAGCGTGTCATCAGGGAAACAACCGAATGCCCTCACTAGGATTTTCTCGAGGGGGGCGGATTTTTCGGATTTTTAAAAACCTCGAAAATTGTTAACGACCTTTTTTTCATTATTTAGGTTGACCAAATTGATTTTCCGAGCTTTCTCAAAGCACTAAAAAGACCGTTTTGGCCAAATTTTCTGCGCCGCAAGCAAAATATTGACAAAAAAGGCGTTTTTAGTCATTTTCTGGAACATTCTGACCAAAAAAATTGCGTATTTTCGGCGCGCGCTCCCCACTCAAAATTATTAACGACTAATCTGAGTTCCTCACATTGCATTAATTTAGAACTAAAAAATTGGAACCGGCATCGTGGTATGTTATCAATTGCAGTTTACTGGGGGTGCATTTCAGGACGTGACTATTAGCGTGTCATCAGGGAAACAACCGAATGCCCTCACTAGTTCAGAAGTGCTCATAGAACCAGTGCCTGAAAAAGAAGAACCCGAGGATGATTCGGATGGTTCGGAGGGCGACGAAAACGGAGCAAGCCACGAAGATGAAGTCGAAGCGAAAACAGATTCTGAACCAGAAGAACCTCAGTTTGAAGTGCAACCAATACATGTGCGCGCTGAAGCCAGAGTTCATATGGACAATGTTATGGATGAGACACTTACGCCCCAACGACTGCTAGTTGTCGAGGAAGCAGAACACGAGAAAAATGAGCAAGCTACCAGCTTTGAAGAAGCAACGATGAGCGATCCGTTGGCTGCTGTTTCTAATGTTAGTGAAGATCATAATTGCTTAAATAACAGTAATAAAGATGAAATGGTAGCAGAAGATGTGAAAACTAACGACGCTTCCGGTGACTCACCTGAGAAGAGTGTTGCTGTCCATCATGATATTAATCCAGTTCAAGAAGAGTCGCCCGCTGCTGAAATTGGCACTGAAGAACAAGAACCAGGAGTTTCGAGAGATCGGGAAGATCAATTAGACGCTGAACTGAATGTGGAAAACTCAGATCCAGAAGAAAACTCAGATCCCGAAGATGCGATTGTTCTAGACCCCAGAAACATCCCTAGTCCAGACTTAGACGAAACTTCAGATCTGGAGAGCGAGCAGGGCAATCGGAATGTCGGCGATGGCGAGCAGTCGGAACCCGAAGGCTCAGGGACTGTGGAGTCGACAGCCGAAGCAGACCAAGGCCTGATTGAGCTAGGAAGTGAATCTGTTGCCGCTAACCAATCAAGTGAACCAATCAGTGTTCCGGTCATAGACGATAAATCAGCATTGAACTCCGAAAGAGTCATCGCAAATGGTTCATCTGAATTTTCTGCTGACCGGCAATTCGGTGAGTTTATCTGAAGTACTCTATGCTTTATCTGACGTACTCTATGCTTTCGATAGTTTCCTATTGAATCTATTTTTTTCGCTTAAGTGGAATAATGGGGCTGAATTCGTAGTAAAATCAAGTTGTAGCACAATGGACGGACAAGTTGTTAATGCTGCGATGGCAAGAATCGAATGGTCTTGTGCTTGTTTCTTTTTTTGTTTCGTTTTTTTTTGTTTACACTTGTGATCGTTAGCGTATTAGTACGAACCTTCTTTTTTTTTCTAAACTAACTAGTTAATAAACGTGTTCACTTATTTGGTGGCACTTTTACTACAATCACGGTCTGTAGCATTGAAAATTTCACAGCATCTGTTCTCTGCTTTATTTGTGGTTCGTGTTTGTAACTCAGTAAGTGTCCGTGGTTAGTGCGTGAGACTCATAATCTCTAAGTTGCAGATCCAATCCGATACGTAGCCGAAGTTTTACTATTTCGAGGCTTAATTATACTTCTTCTTATTGCACTGTATAGAGCTGCTTTTTGTCGTGTTCTCGGCGAATTTTGCCTAATGCAACCAGAGACATATTGCAATTGCAATGTATAGAGCTACTTATTGTCGTGTTTTCGACAAATTTTACCTAATGCAACCAGAGACGTAGCCAGAGAACACGAAAAGAAGCAGCTCTATACAGTGCAATAAGAAAAGTATAAATAAGCCTCGAATTAGTAAAAATTCGGCTTCGCTTCTATGTAACAAATTTTAGCTTGAGCGTTTGCTCGCTACCCAAACTTGTAGGTAGTAATTTTTCAAATTTTCCAAGCTCTCAAGCTGTTTATTGTCGCTGATTGACTTTGATTTCATTAAAACCACAATCTAATCTAGTATGTTTAATAGTAAGAAGTCAAATTACGCTCTTCGATAACAAGTGTAAAAAACGAAAGAGCGGTATAATTCGAATTTCAGATTTATCAGCGAAATTGAAAACATCCATTTGTGCAATTTTGTTAAATCGGCTTTGTTTTCAGAAAAAAAATAGTCTGCTATCAAAGTTTGCTTCAAAAATTTTGTCGTCCTTCTAAAAAGATCGCTTTTAATAAATCTTCTAAATCAATAGGTAACTTGTGTTATTTAATTTTAACATTTTATTCAGAAAAAGTTAGCTAATGTTAAAATTAAATAACACACGTAAGCTAGCGAGTGTAGTTTTGTATTACGAGTTTCAACCCTCTTCCCAAATAGATGTGCTCATTTGGTGGCACCTTAGCTGCATTGGCAATTTAATAGCATCTGTTTTCTGCATTGTTGGTGACTAGTGTTACACAACCGGAGCTTGATGTGTTACCAAAAGGGTTATTTTTATTTTAATAAGCTAAATTGCTAATAGAAGTGCTATTTTTGGTGGCTTCAAGGCTTATTTTAAATTTTTCAAGTCCTGATGGATTATGGGTGGCCTTTTGGCCTAATGGCTGATGTATTTTCCTATTGTGAAGCCACCGTGGTTCAGACTTGATGACGCGAAACTCCTAATAAACAGGTTGGAGGTTCGATTCCCACATTCAGCGAAGTTTCAATTTTCAAAACTTATTTTAGCTTTTTCTTTCCTTTAGTTATTTTTCAACCTTTGGAGCTAATTTTGCTGGTTTATTGTTTGTGTAAAATGTGCAATGGCGCTAAAAATAAAAAAAATTTACTTTTAGTTTGCCGAGGAGCATTTGATTTTTAAGTTTTCTAGTGGATTTTACAGTTTTCTAAGGATTTAGTATTCTCAAAAAGATCAGTTTTATTTGAAAAATTTTTTCAAAAAAAATTCTTGAAACTCCAGTTGTTTTAATGTGGTGTATTTTTTACTTCCATATGTCCGTTGAGGTTTTGTTTGGATTTAAACCGGTTTTATTTGTTTGTATGACATTCAAGCAGAAACTGTAGTTCGTCTGCTTAAGGGACAATGAATAAAGTGAACGCATTTTATAGTTTTATAGGTCGTGTTGTTATTTTTTTTTCAGATTTGGCTTTTTCGTGCGCTCAAATTTGATTTTTCTTTTTTTGCCATCTAATTTTGTTGTTTCAACCATTGAAAATGAGGAAGAACTTTGTATGCGGGTCTGTTTTAGTTTTGCTCACGAAAATTCTGGTACCGCAAATAATCATCGGAATGGGCCGAGTGATATATCATATTAAAGCACATTCAGTCGTGATATGCACAAAATTTGATTTTTCGCGGTTTGACTTTGATTTATTTTTCAGTTCATTTCATTTCTTTTGTTAAAATTATGGCAAACTCCACCATTGAACAGCAAAAATGTAAAGGTAACGAAAAACGTGATCGATTCTAATTTCGAAAATAGAAATTAATTATCAGGTTTCCTAGCGAAATAAAAGTTTTACTTATTGATCCAGTTTGCTAAAATTGGGTTAATTTTATCAAAAAAGTGTTTTTTTTTATAAGTTCCACAAATTGCTTTTTTAAAACTCTTTTTCAACTACCAGTTGGCTATGTCTAAACATTTATATCGGAAATTTATTTTAAAAAAGATAAAAGATTAATTTTTTGTTATTAAATTATTATTTCTCGAATTTCGGAATGTTGATTCTTAAAAATAGTTTGAAACTTGTCGTGAGAAATTTTCAGTTTTCTTTGCACGGCAAACATGCACTCTGTAAATGATTGAATGATTGAATGAATTCTCTTTTTCAAGTACTCTTTATTTATTGTAAAACTGGAATTTTTCGTGCTCAGTTTTCTATTTTGGAAGTTTGATTTTCGAACATCGCTTTTTTTTCGAGTGGAGCTCAAACTAGGCTCCCCATAGCAGAAGAGTTAAACAGTGAGGGTATTGCAAGAGCCGGTTTTCTCATATTAGGCTACTTACTTCAAAAAAGTGGCAACCATGTTAACATTTTCTGAAATTTAAGGAGCTTTATGGTGGTGTAGTGTTTTGACAAAGTTTGAAAAAAAGAAACGATAATAATATAAAACAATAATTTTTTCGGGTTCTTTGAGGCCATTAACATTTTTCAACTGCTTTTGGTCTATGTTTTTTTTCTGTTTCGGTATTTTTTTTCTTCATGTGCAAAGTAAAGATTTTTCTCCTTCATGTAAAGACTTAGTATTTGTTGATAAAGATTATCAGAAGTATGGAAAAAGCAAAATTATCAAAGTATGTAAATCGAAGTTTGTCAAAATTATCAGAATTATCAAGTATGTTACAAAGATGAGCAATTTGATGAAAATTAATTTTTCTTTGTCGGCAATCTAACTTTTTCTGAATCTACATAATTCTTATACAGAAAGATCCTAATTCTTCAGTAAGAATTGAATAGTTTTTCTCATTTACGCCAACAGTATTTTGAGCTCAGTGCTTGAAAAACTTCTCAGCTTCACAACACTGTTGTAGAGTACATAATCTTTTCTAGTGAGGCGCAATTCTAAATTAACCGGCTTCTGGAGGAAATAAACGAACTCCATGATTTGGTTCTCCGCTAAGTCTTCCGAATGGGGTGTCTCTGAGTTAACTCCGATTATCTTCACAGGCTTCATGACGTCATGAAATTCCAACAGACAGTTGATTACGTCATAGATCGGCACCAATCTCCTGTCTCGAGTTAACACATGCATTGACGCTGGTCTTCGTTTGAAGAACTTTCTGTCGTAGTGCCTGGTTCCTTGCAATGTGTAGGTAGACTCTTTGAGAGTGCCAAATGATGTCAAACTCATAGCATCGTAAGATACTGCGCTTTTTAGTGACGAAGTTTCATGTAAAGCTAATCGACTTGACATGCTTTGGTTATTAGGCGTCTTCAAGCTTTGAGTTTTGGATTTATTTCGTTTCATGCGAGCGAAAAGTCTCGCTAAAACGGACGGGGGCTTGCTTTTTGGGCCATCGAAAATAACAGAGTTTATAGTTTCGTATTTCCGATTCGGTCTCTTTGTTGATTCTGGGTTATCAAAATGGGGCAAGCTTTTTGTGAAAGATTGCTTTTGATTCTGAGGCGATGACTTGCTCTTAGCATCAATTGTTATTCCATCGCTCGAACCATAGATCCCTCTTGGTTTATTTGTATTTGAGCTAGTCGTTGAACTTTTTCTACTGTTTAGTATTGAGCTTAGTGAGGGTTCGTCATAACCTGACAAATCTTCGTCGATTGTGAATGCCTTTGATGGTCTTTTCACTTTAGAAGCTGGCTTCGGTGTCGATGAGTCATCGTGAACCTCAACTGTATGAATTTTTCCATTAGGAATTACCGGCTTGTGGGCCTCTTGTTGCTCGTTTTCGACTGTTATGGAATTCTCGGCGTCGGAGCTTTTTATGCTATTATCGGTTGAGTCGAACGATCTTCCCATTTCAGACTGTTCTTGGCTGTTTTCTGTCGAAGATTCGAAGACTGCAGATTCTTCAAATTCATCTGGAACTTTTGGAATCTCGGTTGAATCGACTGCAGTGGAATTTGGGTCGGTCTCTGTTAGAACTTCTAATGCCTTTGCCGGAACTTCGAGTGTCTTCTCCAAGACTTCCAAAGCTTTTGTAGGAAGGTCTGGGGAATCTTTTGGATGGTCTTCGTCATGTACTTCAGACAACTGCTTATCTGGTTTGCTTTCATCGGATTTCTTTACAGTGATCACATTGGCCATGTTTTCTTCTGAGTTTGCTTTCTTTTTTATGGTTCCAAAATTGTCATCTTCATCATTTTCAGGCTCTTCCTGAATTGCACTGATTTCTCTTCTGCTAGAATCAGTTGGGTACATCATATCAATCGTATCTAGCATGTATGCCGCTCTCAGGCGTCTCGTCTCCTCGATTAGACATAGCATCTCGAGTAAACTGTGTCTTTCCACACAAGAGATTTTGACGCCATACACTTTTCGTAGCTTCTTGTACCACTTTTTGTCCCAGTGTAAAGAGATGACAAATCTGTGGCCTTCAGGGCCGTCTAGTTGGTACAAATTAAGTTCACCTTTACATCGCTCCCAGTTTCCGCCCATAAGTATCTTGAAATCGGTCGTCATCTCGATTCTGCCCACCAATTCGTTGTCGTTGAGAATATTCGCTATTTTGTCGTGTTTGACAATGTAGACCAAAGTTCCGAGAACTTTGCCGCCGAATTCGCCACTTCGTTGTAGTGACGGGTAAAAATCCGAATTGTACGATCGCAAAGACATTTTATTAAATTTTGAAATAGGTACAAGTTAATATCTCTGAATACTTTGACGTGTACCGAGAGAGCGAACTGAAATGAAAGGCTTTGATTTACCTTGTGTCAATACTTGCCACTTTGAGAAGCAAATTTGATCCTGAGAACAATTGCCTTGTTGTTATACGTACAGTAAAAAAGTATTATGTCCGGCAGAATTTCATTTTAGCAGTTCAATTTGGGCGTAATAATTTCGTTGGTATAAAGCTTACGGATTTAATTAGAAAATATTAAGCAGCTCCGAAGTTGGAATTGTTAATGTTTGGATACATGGTATTGTGTAGACATCCCGATCATGAGGTTTGCATGCAATATTGAAGGAAGGTGAAAATTCATTTGTTTGCGCTCAAACTAGGCCGAGATAACACACTTGGGCAAACGTATAAACCGAAGTAGCTCATGTTTGATTTTTGTCCGAATCAGCTCTATTATACAATTCAGACGAAGATTTTCTCCCATCAATTTTACCCTGTCAGTCAATTTGAAACTGACTTCAATAGTAACTGCGGTTTAAAATCGATCTAGAAAATGATTGGAAGGCTAATATTTGGCCTTCCTTTTATAGTATATTAGTTAGGGTTATTCAACAAATCATACCAAAAGCATTTGCTCGAAGGTTGTTGCCTACTAGAATTGACGTTATGATTAAAAATAACTTGTCTGCTTGCAATTTAGCTATAAACAACATTATAACCACAAAATATAGTCATGAAAGTTTAATTTTGTTTAGAAAATGACGAAAAGGACAATGACCACCAATTGACAGAAAGTGATTCCTCGTTTATTCCTGTAACCGAAAATCCTCCAGATGAAAATGCACAAATTTCCGAAGAATCGAACTCCGTCTCAGTTTTGGACCCTAGTACTGTCAAAAACACTCCGGCAGACCTACCGCAGTCGCCGCCCGAGGTTCCAGACGAGCCACCGGAAGACCCGCTTGAAGCTAGCAACGCCTTTGAACAGGAGCGCATGGTAGGCGGGTCGTCTCTTCCTGCTTTGAGGTCGGCCTCGCCCCAGAGTTCTGGTGAGCCAGATGTTCCGATGCCTTCGCCTCGAACTAATCAGACGTCGCCAGGAGAGAATGAAGATCCGAAGAAAGAAGCAGTGGAAAAAGACGAAGATGACGTTGAGGCGGAGCTGAATGAAGTATTGCAGAAAGATTCAGATGCTAAGACAGAACGAATATTCGAAGATTCAGATTCAGATGATTCACTATTTGGCAGTTCGCTTGCGACCTCGAAGGCTAAAAAAGAGTTAGTTCCACCAAAATAATCCGTTGAAATATGAAAAAATCAGATTCTGAATGACTGACGACTGATAAAATGGATTCTATTTCTGATTCTGGCTGTACTTAATTTCAATTTTTGTACTTGTTTTTTAATTTGTTTTAGAAGTAGCCCAGCGAAAGAAAGCTCAGCCCAGCAACCACAGGTAATAACTTGCAATGCTAAATTGAATAGAAGGAACCGTTTTTCTTAGCTCCAATAAGTATTTTATTTATTCCAGAACTCAGAAAGAGACACTTTACCACCGGCAGATGACAAAAAGAGCCGAAAAAATCACCTGCCCCATTGTTTCCAAGTCCCGAAAAAATCACCTGCCCCATTGTTTCCAAGTGACGACGAAGATGATGATCTTGATTGGCTGAAGTAGCTGACCCCTTTTCAAATAAATGACTGTTCAAACCCTTACCTTGAAAAATAGTCTATATACAAACCATTCCGTAACTGAAAAGTATATATGGTCTCATAAGAGATTGACTCAAATTATTTATTTATCATTTTGATAACATCAATACTGAAAATAGTGTCCGAATCAGTAAATTTTCTTTAGTCATGTTTCATAGTCTAGTTAAGAGTAATGAGCGTAGTGAAAACTTATACAGGTCTTGCTGAATTTTTTTGTTTTTTTTTCAGGAAAAAGTCTTAAAAATATTGATGCACTTTTTGAGCTCAATTGAAATTCATCTGCTGAAAGTGACGTAAATAGCACTCTCCAAATACCAACATGGAAATGGCGCGAAAAACGTGAACGATTTCTAGTTTTGAAAGTGGAAATTATTTTTAAGATTTCCCAGCGGATTAAAAACTTCACCTGTTGATCCAGTTTTCTCAAGTTGGGTTCATGTTATCAAAAAAGTGCCGGTCATGAACTGATGTAATACAAAAAACAGCAATAAAAAAAGTTCAAGTTTAGCTTGCGAGATAAAAAAACTCGACTTTAATACTCGCTTTTACCCGGCTAATTTCTGCCTAATGAAACAACATGTATATATATTTTATTTCACTGATTTGTTGCTGAGAACAGTTTTAAAGAGTAATGATTGTAATGAAGACTCTTAGATAGGTCTTGGTGATTTTTTTTACAGGAAAATGTGCGTAAAAGTCTCTATTAATTACAGATGTGCATTCATACATAATGGTGCATTTATGAATGCACTTAGGTATATATGAGTTCAAGTGAATTTCATCTGCTGAAAGTTACGGAAAAAGCACTCTCCAAATACGAACGTGGAAATGGCGCAAAAAACGTGAACTAATTAAAGTTTCGAAGCTGTTTTTAGATTTCCAGCGGAATAAAAACTTTACCTGTTGATCAAGTTTTCTCAGGTTGGGTTCATGTTATCAAAAAAGCGCCAATCATAAACCGTTCTAGAAATTCAAAGAGCTTAAAGGTCAACTATTTTTTCTTTGAAATTCGAAAGTTGAGGTTTATTGGTGTTTTTTTATGTTTACTTGAGTTCATTACTCTTTTCCAATCTTCGATTGGCTATGTTTAGTTGACGAGACCAGATTTAGGGTGTTTATAGATTTTTTTAGTAATCATAAAATGAGTGGCTCTGTCTTCGCCTACGAATCGAAAAGACGGTGTTTCGAGGCCCACGAAGATCGGTGTTCGTTGCCTGTTGAACTTAGCCCAGAAAAATGACAAAAAAATACATGTCATTACACCGAAGACTTTAGTCAAGGTGTTATGGTATCGTGTAACGGGTTTTTTTTTATGTTGTCTGTTGTCAAGTGTCGACAAATAACGTCCACAGTTATCAATTATCATGTGGGCTGGACTATATCGCGCTATGTCACGTGATTGCGTATGTTTGTTTCTTTATTTGTTCATCTTTATTTATTTAATTATCTGTTCTTCTATTTATTTAATTATGTTTAGTTTGCTTATATTTATTTATAATTTATGTATGTACATATTTATTTTTGTTTATTTTTATCACGTGTTTTGTTTATTTATTTAATTATTCTTTCTTTCATTTAGTTTTGCTTTTATTATTTCTGCGTGTGTATTTATTTAATTTATTTATTTTCATTTATTTATATTATGGGTCTGTTTGTTTGGTTATTTGTTCATATATTTTTTTTCATGTCTATTTAATTATTTGTACATTTCACTTTTGCTTTTATTTATTTATTTATTTATTTATTTATTTATTTATGTATTTATTTATGTATTTATTTATTTATTTATGTATTGATTTATTTTTTTATTGCTTATTTATTTATCAGGTGTGTTTTGTTTATTTGTTGATATTTATTTCTATATTTATTTAATTATTCTTTCTTTCATTTAGTTTTGCTTTTATTATTTATGTATGTGTATTTATTTCATTTATTTATTTTCATTTATTCATATTATGGGTCTGTTTGTTTGGTTATTTGTTCATATATTTTTTTTCATGTCTATTTAATTATTTGTACATTTCACTTTTGCTTTTATTTATTTATTTATTTATTTATTTATGTATTTATTTATGTATTTATGACAAATTTTTAATTACTGTAATATTGTTGCATTTATTTCTGAGCGAATGTTCGTTATCATAGCCCACGTCTGAGCAGAGCGATGTTATTATTTATATTGGTTTTCACAAATATATTTTTGCAATGTACTTTTTTCCGTAGTTCAAATTTATTGTAATGGTTTCTATAACACAATGATGGTGATATAATTTTTTTTCAGAAATGACGTCCACTATTTTGTTTGGCGATTCTATGTTAAAAGGATTTAACGAATACCTTATCAGACTTTCCGATACGTCGGTTATAGTGAAATCTGGACTGAAAGTCAGTACCATCAATGACACTCATGTCGAAGAGATAAAAGCCTTGAAACCAGCTCGCGTTATTCTTGCTGTTGGTGCAAACGACATGTGTCCCCGCCAACAAGATATTGTGTTACAACCAAGCATTGCCCATACCGATGCTTCTCTCGCGAGCTTGGCAAAGGCCACACTTGCTATGTTGATTATGTCACTTGCTTCTCCTCTTCGCGATGCTGGCTTTGAAGTCCTGCTCCTTTGGTAACATTTTCATAAAATGACTAATTCAGTAATAATAATAATGTACATTGTTCATCAGGTATCGGTTTTGCTGTTTTTTTAATGAAGTTTAGAGGAAAAAATAAACTACATTGTATTTTTAGTCCAATTGTTCGCAAGGACTTTTACCGTGAAATCCGCGCGTTGGATACAGCCATCAAGTCTTCAGATTGGTCATTTATTCCCGTTGGACTATTGCGCTACACACATTTATCTACCGATGGTGTTCATTTGTCGCAAATGGGCTGCCTGAATTTGGCGAAATTAATTTGTGAGAGAGTATCCTTAACTCTTTTGACATCTGCCGTGGTAAATACTTTTTGTCTATTCTATTTTTTTTTCTGTTGTATTCCACTGAGCACTTAAATGTCATAATTTTATTTTTGCAGCCGTTTACTATCAGCTCATCTTCAGTGTTTGGCGTCTCTCAAATTTCCCTTGACGTTTGCAATAAATCTGTTTTGAGCATAGCTGATTCCCTCTTTGCAGAGCTTTACAAATCATACAAACAGGAATCTTGGACACATGTCAACGGGCGCTCTGTCAAGTGGATTTCAGAGGTTCCATACTCATATGGAAGCGTTCGCCACCCGCCCAACAACTCTTGGTCACCACAGTTGTTGTTGTTAAAGACCTTGTTGGAGAAAGAACTCAAAGTTTCCTTCAACAGTGTCCTCATCAACATTTATTGTTCCCTCGAAGAGGTAATATCACAAAATACCGTCATAACAATTAGATAACATAGAAAATGTACTTTGCCTATCAGTATTTTTAGGGAGTTGGATTTCACGCTGACAACGAACGTGGTATTCCTGATTATCCAACCATTGCCAGCGTATCCCTTGGAGCCACCCGACGCTTTGCAATGAAAAGAAACGGGACCACGCGCTCTGAAGTTTCTGTTTTGTTGCCACATGGTAGCGTTTTTACCATGCTCGGAGCTTGCCAGAAAGACTGGAAGCACAGCATCTTGAGAGGATCCACTGCACCCGATGGATCGTTTGAGAAATGGAATGGCGTCCGTTTAAATTTGACGTTCCGTAATCAGTTTGACGCTGAACGTTGAAGTTTTATGTCATTTTTATTACTTGCCGGTTTTTGAAGGTTGAATTTGAACTTGATTTCGTGGAATACTTAACTGATATCTTTACCTGATTGAAGTTTTCTTCATGAATACCAACATTGGTACATTTTTCAGATCTGTGTCATGTCTTTGCAAGTATTTTTTTTGTTTTTTGGATTTGTTTTTTGGATTGTTTTACTGCTACATACTGTCAATTCTGAGACTGCTTCACAATTTCTCAATATAATAAGACTAATAGCTTTTTTTCATTTTAGCTCTTTCTTGTAAGTATATGTGTAAGTACGATTTTTAGTTATTCCGGAGACCCATATGAGTCTACATGCCAATTTATACGATTGGCCGATTGAAACGACAGGAGGCGTTTTGCTACACATACAAACACAATCTTTTGTATTTTATTATAGCTATAGAAATTGATCTACAATGCGTAAGTACGACATTTAGTTCTACGATTGTTATTTCAGGTCCTTTGTCAATATTTCAGGCTCTTTGTCAATATAGCAAAATTTTGGTGTATATATGTGTTAGTAAGATTTTTAGTTCTACAACGTTTATTCAGGCTCTTTGTCGATATAGCAAAATATTGGTGTATACATGTGTTAGTACGATTTTAGCTCTAGAATTGTTATTTCAGGTTCTTCGTCAATATAGCAATATTTTAGCGTATACATGTGTTAGTACCATTTTTAGTTCTCGAACTGTTATTTTATGATCTTTGTCAATATATCAAAATTTTAGTGTATACATGTGTTATTACGATTTTTAGTTCTCGAACTGTTATTTCATGATCTTTGTCAATATATCAAAATTTTATTGTATACATGTGTTAGTACCATTTTTAGTTCTCGAACTGTTATTCCATGATCTTTGTCAATATAGCAAAATTTTGGTGTATACATGTGTTAGTACGATTTTTAGCTCTAGAACTGTTATTCCATGATCTTTGTCAATATAGCAAAAATTTGACGTATACATGTGTTAGTACGATTTTTAGCTCTCGAACTGTTATTTCATGATCTTTGCCAATATAGCAAAATTTTGGTGTATACATGTGTTCGTACGATTTTTAGCTCACGAACTGTTATTTCAGGCTCTTTGTCAATATAGTAAAATTTTGGTGTATACATGTGTTAGTACGATTTTTAGTTCTAGAAGTGTTATTTTATGATCTTCGTTGATATATCAAAAATTTGACCTATACATGTGTTAGTACGATTTTTAGTTCTAGAACTGTTATTTCAGGCTCTTTCTCGATATAGCAAAATTTTGGTGTATACATGTATTAGTACGATTTTTTGTTCTAGAACTGTTATTCTTCAATTATTAGTTGTTCAAGTTGTTTGGTTTTTGCTTCAGTTTCTATGCCTTCGGTGTATTGCGCGTAGCGCCTATGTTTAAGCCATTCGCTTAGCAATTGCTTCTCAGTAAAGCTGAACAGCTCATCTGCTGGTCCTTTCTCTCGTTAATTAATCGTTTCAATTAAAATTTTGTCCATTTTTTCCGAGAAATATCCATTTTCTACCCAGCTTTTTTTTCAAGGCTGGAAGAAAGAGGGGATTTCGGGTGAGATTGCATGACCTAAAGTCTTTGAATTTTGCAGCAATTGTTTCAGGAAAAAGTTTATATGCCTTTTTGAGTTCAATTGAAATCCAAATACGAATGTGGAAATGGCGCAAAAAAATGCGAAAATTTTATAGTTTCGATAAATGGAATTTAGTTAGGCTCTCCAGTGGAATAAAATCCAGCTTTTTCAAATTGGGTAAATTTTATCAAAAAAGCACCAATCGTAATTAAAATATTCTGGAAATTCTAAGAGCTTAAAAGGCACCTTTTTATTGGAGTTCGAAACTGGACATTTTATCAACAAAGTCAGTTTTTTTCTATTTGCTTGCGTTCATTACTCTTTTCAACTTGATGATTGAACACTATCTTTCAAAATCTAGACTGGTAATTCTTTAAAATAGTTTGAAACTTGTGGTTGAAAGTTTCAGTGCTCTTTACGCAGCAAACATGCACTCTGTAAATGATTGAATGAATTGTCTTTTTCAAGTACTCTTTTTTTGTAAAACTATGGCATTTTTTTCGCGCTCAATTTTCTATTTTGGAAGTCTGATTTTCGAACATGGCTTTAGAACATTCGCTTTAGAGATTCTTTTTTTGAGTGGAGCTCAAACTAGGCTCCCATAGCAAAAGAGTTAAAGAGTGAGCGTTTTGATAGAGCAGTATTTCTATTTCTCGTCTTAGGCTAGTTTCATGAGAAAAGTTACATGCAGGCGGGAAAACAAAGAAGTCACATAAGTCCCAGAACATGCTTTGCTCGTATATCAAGTCAATGCTCCCAATGTTACGACTGCCTTTTTATTGACGTCCAATAGTCTTTGATAATTTTTTATTTGAAAAAATTATGTTTTTCGGCTGTTAACCATGTTAACCTCAAATATTAAGTTTTGCTATTTGAGTGATTCTGGAAAAAATGATCATTTAGGTTACCCGATTGTAATTCGAACAATTTCCTACCGGATAATAGTTCGAGCAATTTCGTACCGGATAATAGTTCAAACAATTTCGTACCGGTCTCAGGTGTGAACCTCAATCTATTAATTTGTTTCAAAATTGTCCCTGAACAAAAAAGAAAACACCGAGCTCATTTATCATTCACTTTTTTCGAAAGTTGGAACAATAATTTTAATTTGTATCAAGTCAGTTTGGACCCATTTTGATTGTGGAATAATTCATCAAACATAAGTAATTTAGTATCTCTTTTTAGCATCATATTACAAACAACCACAAGCAATTCATATTCTTCATTTCATTCAAAAGTCGAAAGAAAACACTAAATGCCCATGCCAGGGCTTAGCCTGAATAATTTGATTTCTTTTAACGTTTGTGATATAGTTTTTGATAAAACCTCTTTGAATTAAGAAAAAAACTGAAATATTTAAAAAAAATTGAAACAGTCAAACGGTCGAAGTTCTGTCTGAATAAAAAAGGAGACCGAGTCTTTGAAAGTCGTAACAAATATCTGTAATATTGAAAAGAAATACAAAAAAGCTGAGGCAATATATTGTACAAACTATTCAAGCAGTCAAATTGCCAAGCCTACTATTTTGCAAGTTATTTTAAAGTCGCTTGAGTGAAGGGCCGTTTTCGTGATAAATACAATTTAAAATTGCAACCGACGAGGCATGGGAGTTCTGTTAATGGACATGACTTCAAGAGACTGATGAGGGTTGAAAACGCAATCGTGTACATTTGTTCGTTCTGTTTGAACAAAAAAAAACATATAGCTATATTTTTTATTTAGCTCAAACTACAACCAATCACAATCCGAATAGAGGATCCTGTTAATTATTTTCCCCTATTTCCATTTTCAGAAATTCAATTTTGGTTGCTACAACTTAAAACAATTTTCAGAAAAAATATTTGATTAAAAATTTTATTTGTAGGTTGTTATATAAACAATGAATAATACAATTAATTTTGGAGAACTTTGAAACAAAATTTTTATTCAGAAATGGGTGTCAAAACTAATACATGCGTAGGAAAAGACATTGTTAACAACGACCAAAAGAGGGCGGGGTTTGGAATAGTTCAAGATCCCGAATAAAAATGAGTTTTTCGAGTTTGAAATTTCAATTTCCGTATTTCAAAGAGACTTTAAATGGCCTTAAATTTCTTTGAGTTGCAACACTAGTTTATGATTGACTCTTTGTTGATAAAAGTTAACTCAATTAAAAACATTTGGATCCAAATGTAAAATTTGGATCCCGCTGGAAAATTTGAAAAATAAATTCCGATTTCGAAAAAAAAGTCGGCCAGAATATCGCAACTTACATAACATTTACCAAAGATAAAGTAAAGAAACTCAAATAAAATAGTTTATATATACCTAGAAGTCTTCATGAAGGCAATAATATGTGTTAATGCACTTCACTAAGGTATTAGAGCTTTTAAGAACTTTTCGAAAAAAAAAAGGAAAAAAATAATCATCACGACTTATATAATGGACTGAACTACGTTCATCATGTTGACTCGAGTCGGCGCAACGTCATTCAAGTTTCACTGAAACCATTAACTCGATATCAAGCATACAGTCTGTAAATCACATTGTGCGGATTACACAACACCTTCGTGTGCATGTTTGACAACACTATAAGTACAACGCAGAGTGCAAGTTCAGCGGCGGAATAAAAACTCTGTTCACGTGAATTGACCTTTTTGCTAAGCGCTGTCCTACAAGAAGTCGTTTGCTTGACTTGTCAGTTACTTGACAGACTAAAGTCACTTGCTTTCTTTTGGGTTAATGATGAACTTTCTCGGCAAAGTCTCGCCCCTAAAAAAGTGATATATGTAAGTGCTCAATAAATGTTCCCATTGATTCGATTCACTCATTCCTTGTCAAAAAGGTATGACTTCAATATCAGTTTGTGGGCCAAAAAATAAGTTGCTGTGGCAGGGACCATGTGACGGCTACGCGGAGTACTCAGCAAATTTCTTCCACACGACTTCTTTTGCTCTTATCACTTAGATTAAGTTAAGATATAATCCGCAAGTACTGCTGTAATTATGAGTCATCTGGGGCCGATTTAGGAGGGTGAAGGACGGACGCCCTTCCTCAGGGATTCGACTCCTTCACTAACCAAAGGATCAAACCCTTCTAAAAAGTGCCCATAAATAGCTTTTTTGGCATATTCTTTAAACTTTTGAGGGCGGCGCAGAAATTGATGTCAAAATAGGGCCTTTATAGGGCCTCTGGGAGCGATCGGAAAATCAATTTGGTTCGCTTAAAAAATGCTATCAAAATTTCGTACAAAAAAACACTCCCTCTGTGAAATTCTAGATCCTAGTGAGTGTTAAAAAATTAGGATACCACTCGTGTTGTAAAAGAGTGACTTAAACTAAGAATAGATTAAGACTGTGGATGATTAAGATTCCTACTAAAATTGTAGGCTTTTATTTAAGACTAAATAAAAGACGGGGATTCTATCTAAGTTAAGAGAGGTTTAAAAGATTGAATTGGTTGCGATTGATTTGTTACGTATCATAAAA